TGGTGACACTCTCAAGGTCTCAGCTTCCTGGCTGAGTGGCAATTTGAACCCAGGCCTCTTAGGAGGAACATTTTACCCCTGCACCTCCCTGTCTCTCCGCCCCAATGCCAGAATTGGGGCCTCTTTTAATCTGGCCAGCCTGTTTCTAAACAAGCTCTCTCTTGCTTCTAAAATTATAAACACCCAGCAACAGATTCACAGACAGAGTGCAAATGCCCCCGCAGCCCTTTATTCTGGACCCAGCCTCTGGCAAAAGGCAGAGGGTCCAGACTGGCCCCGATCCGCGTGACTTGCAGGACGGTGCCAGAGCCTGGCTGTGACCCAGTTCAGGGCCCTGAGAAGAACAGGCTGTGCTTGTGTTCCTCCGTCAGCTGCCCTCTGTGCCCCCTTGTTGAGCAGTCGGTCTCCCCCTCGGCTAAGTCCTCTCTGTCAATAGACCATGGACTGTCGGACTCACTTCGACCAGAATGGGCTTTGTGCGCTGGAAACAGTTCTTGTCCTGCTGTCCTAGCAAAAGAGGACCCTGGCCGGGTCTGGCGGCTGAATTATCTGTTCTGGCCTCTCCTGCGTGGCCAAGGGGCCAGTCACCCCACTCTGCAGGGCCTGTTTATCTCCTGCCTCCGAGGTCCATTGCTGGTAAACCCCCCCCCCCAGCTCTGTGCTGCAGTTCAAACTGGACTTTTCCTTCTTGCAGTGTGGGGCTCCTGAGCTCAGCAATGTTATAAGGAAAATACTGCTCCCTTTCCCTTATGGGGTATCTAAGAGTCCATATAGAGTCCTTAAGTAGGTTCTCTATGGGCAGGAGAAAATAACAGAGGCCAACCAGAGAATATTGAGAAGCAAAGCAGCTACGGTGAGGGGGGAAAGTATTTGATCCCCTGCTAAATTTGCCCGTTTGCCCTCTGACGAAGAAATGACCAGTCCATCATTTTAATGGTAGGTTTATTGTAGCTGCGAGAGACAGAATAACAACAGGAAAACCCCCAGAAAACGAAAGTCAGAGATTGACATGCATTATAATGAGTGAAATAAGTATTTGATCCCCTATCAACCAGCCAGGTGTCAGGCTACCTGGTACCTTCACTGTATGTAACGAGCTGAGATTAGAAGCACCTGCTGTAAGGGAGAGGTCTTGCCTGTAATCCCAGCTCGTTACTGTACCTGTACAAAAGACACCTGTCAACAGAAGCAATCAATCCAGCAGATTCCAAAGTAGCCACCATGACCAAGACCAAAGAGCTGTCCAGTGATGTCAGGGACAAGACTGTAGACCTGCACAAGGCTGGACTGGGCTACAAGACTATTGCCAGGCAGCTTGGTGAGAAGGCGACAACAGCTGGTGCAATAATTCGCAAATGGAAGAAACACAAAATAACTGTCAACCTCCCTCGGTCTGGGACTGCATACAATATCTCATCTCGTGGAGTTGCAATGATCAGGAGAACGGTGATGAAGCAGCCCAGAACTACACAGGGGGAACTTGTCAATGATCTCAGGGCAGCTGGGACCACAGTCACCATGAAAACAGTTGGCAACACACTACGCAGTGAAGGACTGAGATCTTGCAGAGTCTGCAAGGTCCCCTTGCTTAAGACACCACATGTACAGGCCTGTCTGCAGTTTGCCAATGCACATCTGAATGACCCAGAGGAGAACTGGGCAAAAGTGTTGTGGTCAGATGAGACCAAAATTGAGCTCTTTGGCATCAACTGAACTCGCCATGTTTGGAGGAGGAGGAATGCTGCCTACAACCCCAAGAACACCATCCCCACTATCAAACATGGAGGGGGACATATGCTTTGGGGTTGTTTTTCTGCTAAGGGGACAGGACACCTTCACCGCATTGAAGGGACAATGGACAGGACCATGTATCGTCAAATCTTGGGTGAGCACCTCCTTCCCTCAGCCAGGGCATTGAAAATGGGTCGAGGATGGGTATTCCAGCATGACAATGACCGAAAGCACACGGCCAAGGCAACAAAGGAGTGGCTGAAGAAGAAGCACATTAAAGTCCTGGAGTGGCCTAGCCAGACTCCAGACCTTAATCCCATTGAAAATCTGTGGAGGGAGCTGAAGGTTTGAGTACTGTATCTATACATCAGCCTCAAAATCTTACTGACTTGGAGAGGATCTGCAAAGAGGAGTGGAACAAAGTACCTCCTGATATGTGTGCAAACCTGGCGGCCACCTACAAGATACAGACGTGTTAGATCTTGAAGGCCACGACAGTCGGTACGGATGGCACGCTTATTTAATATACAAAAAAGTGAAGGTCCACAAGGGGTTTTTGAGCCATGCAATAAGAAAATCACTTTATAACAGTTGGATTAAATATAAAGGACTACAGGAGCCAAAAATACCATTGTGGACTTCACCTGCAGAAGCAATAGCAGTTAAAAGGAGGAACATGAAGAGATTGATGTGCCACTCCACTTTCAAATGTTCAGGGCAGGCACCCTACATGTTTCCCTATCAGTGCTACTGCTGCAGCCCTGTAACCTTCTGTACCGCAAATGTGGGTCTGGTATATATCTGCCACTAAGGCACCATTAGGGCATCAGTGACATGCCTCAGAAGACACCCCCTTCCCCAAGTCTGGAGGGGCCACCAGTGTTACCGGGAAATTGAAAGGAGGGTGAGAGACCTCCCCCCCTCCCGCTGCCTTGCCTCTCCACACGACCAGGCAAAGACATTACCAAATGTAGCAATTCACTGATAAATGTATCTCTGTACTGGCTCAGTGGGAAAACTTTAGAAATTCATAAGAAATCACATCATTGTACAACTGGTACCTTGGATTAAGAACGCTGCAAACCTGGAAGTAGGTGTTTTGATTTGTGAACTTTGCCTTGGAAGCAGAACAGGTTCCGCTTCCTGTTGAGTGTGTTCCATTTGTAAACTGAGCCCCCCACTGCTATGGGAAAGCACACCTTGGTTTAAGAACGCTTTGGTTTAAGAACGCACTTCTGGAACGGATTAAGTTCATAAACCACTGTATCAGTCTTCTCAGTTCCAATGGCATTTAGGACCCAGGGAAGTCAGATACAGTGGTACCTTGGTTGTCAAACTTAATCTGTTCCAGGAGTCGGATCGACTCCTGGAACTGTTTGAAAACCAAGGCACAGCTTCCAATTGGCTGCAGGAGCTTCCTGCACTCAATCAGAAGCCGCGTCGGATGTTTGGCTTCCGAAAAACGTTTGCAAACTGCAACATTCACTTCCGGGTTTGTGGCGTTCGGGAGCTGATTTGTTCAGGAGCCAAGCCGTTCGACAACCAAGGTATAAGGTGAGGGATGAGTGAGCCCTCCATAATCCCTGAGATGTACAGTCACTTCTGTCTGCAGGGCCTTCCCAAGGAGTCATGATATCCTGCCCCAAGAGCAGGGGTCAGCAACCTTTTTCAGCAGGGGGCCCTCAGACCATTTGGTCGGCTGGACTATATTTTGAAAAAAAATAATGAACAAATTCCTATGCCCCACAAATAACCCAGAGATGCATTTTAAATAAAAGGACACATTCTACTCATGTAAAAATATGCATATTCCCGGACCGTCCGCAGGCCAGATTGAGAAGGCGATTGGGCCGCATCCGGCCCCCAGGCCTTAGGTTGCCTACCCCTGCCCAAGAATGTCAGACAGATAACCATCTCAATCACAATGCCTACCCACCCCATAGTGGGATGAAGCCTGGACAAGACAAAGTGGTGTTTTGACTTGACTCAGGTACCAGGGAACTGTAAATACTTTCCTTTGTATTGTGATGGAGTAAGTGTGAAAGACTATATTTGAGTGGCAGGGACATGCCTGGATCTCAGGTTCTACCTGTGACCACACCTTTTCTGTGATGCTTCTGGAAATGTATTATGGGAAACTCTTAAAAACTGATGAAACTGGGCTTTTGGCTGCTTCGTCTTTGTGGTAGTGGGAAGTCTTGATGCAGCAATAAAGATCAGGCCTACAGGCCGCTGTTTTGCTTCTGTCTCCTGGCTGAAGTCTCCAAGGTTAGGCAATTGTGGGGTGCTCCAATGACTCCCTTATACACCAGGGAGAGGCAATTCTAGAAGAGACTGGCGTTAGCCCCAAGGGGAAAAGAAATAACATTATGTCAAATCTAAATAAAATGATATAAAGGGAAAAATTGGAGACATAATAGTTGAAATGTATAACATAGAATAAGATTTGAAAAAGGGTAAGGCACTGCTGAATACGATTGTGTAAAAGGGAACACAGAAAAGGGAGATGTGAGGAAGTCAGGAAGGAGGGTTATGAAAACAATAAGTAAGAAACTGGATTTTTATGTCTTTTTTATGTCTTTTTGCTTCTACTTTTTTATGTTTTGTATTGCATTTTTCTGTTTTTATTTGATTGTAATAATGTTCTTTTTTTCTTTCCTTTTTTTGGTTTTGATTGTGAAGTTTGTTTTATTGTTTAAAATCTCAATAAATATCTTTTTAAAAAAAATAGCCCCAAGGGGAAAAGCTCTCCCCACACCAGTGAAAGACACCAGAAAAACCCTCCCTGCAGGAATATCAGCCCTGCTGGGAAGACCGGCCTGCTGCCCACGCCAAGCCTCCTATTGCGCTCATTCTTGCCCGTCCTGAAAAGGCGCTTCATTTGGGGTGGGATGTGAAAAGGAAACTGCACGCCAGAATCTCAAGGCGATCTCTGAACGGTACTCGCTGCCCTCCTTGCGCGCGGGGGTCGCCGTCGCTTGGGGACGGAGCAGCTGTTTGGAAGCAGCAGCCGGGTGGGGCTGAGAAAGGCTCTTTCCCCCTGGGTGCTCCGGGGGCAAAGAAGCAGCGTCCCTGAGCATGGGCAGAGCGCCTCCCGCCTCGGCTTGGGCTGGCAGGGGTGCGCCGAGGCGCTTCCGCGTGCCGGCCCCTCGGGGTGCTCGCTCCCTCCCCTGGGCGGCGCCGGCTGCTGCCAGGTGCGACGGGAGGCGGGCGCGGCTCCGCCCGACGGGAGGGGCTTGGCCGGGCCGCCTAAGAGGCTGGCTCGCCGCGTCGCCGGGACAGGCGAGACGGAGTGGGGTGCGTGGCGGCCTCCACCCGCTCCCAGAGCCGCTTCCCGCAGCGCCCCGCCGCCTGCCGAGCGGGCAAGTGCCGCCGTCGTCGGGGCGGCCATGCGGCGCTGCGCCCTGCTGGCCGCCTTCGCGCTGGGCTACGTGGGCTACCTGCTGCTGGGCGCGCTCGTCATCTCGGCGGTGGAGCGGCCCTACGAGAGCCGGCTGCGCGCCGAGCTGCGCGCTCTCAAGGCCGCCTTCCTGCGCGAGAGCCCCTGCCTGCCCGAGCCCGCCCTCGAAAGCTTCCTGGGCGCCGTCCTGAGCGCCAACCGCCACGGCGTGGCTCTGCTCCGCAACGGCACGGCCGCCCCGTCCAACTGGGACTTCGCCTCCGCCTTCTTCTTCTCCAGCACCTTGATCACCACCGTCGGTGAGTCGCCGGGCGAGACGGGGTGGAGGCGCCTGCGGAGCCCGCCGGGGACTCCAGCCGGGGCCCCCAGGCTCCCTCCCCGCGGGGCCCCGACGCCAGTCCCCGCTAGGGCGGCCGGTGCGCAGAGCCGCTTTCCCTGCTCTGTTCCAAGGGGAAAGTTCTCTCTGCGCTTATCGCACCGCGCAGCCGTCGGCTTGTTTGCTCAGCTTCCGCAGAGTTCAGTGTGACTTACTCCCGAGTAAGCACGCACTGGACTAATGCATCCTGAAGTGAGTACTCCTTCCAGCTAAAGGAACCTGGCAGTTTGGGGAGTGGGCGTCCATCCAAGTGCGAGGGCCAGCAGGGGGCGGCAGGATGAGGCAGGCTGTGGTCCTGGGCACAGAGTTGTAAAGTTGGAAGGGGCTCCAAAGGGGCATCTAGTCCAACCCTCTCCACTCCAGGAATGACAGCTAAAGGAGGGGGGACTGGGGGAGGGCTGAGAGGTTTTTTTGGGGGGGGGGTCACCTGCAGGATGGTGATGCGGCTTCCTGGTTTCCAGGCGGAAGTTTGTATGTGGGGCTTCTGACATGAAATAGAGGAACTGCAGCCCTGCGGGGGTGGGGACCCCCCCCCAGCACCTTGACACCCAGACCCACATCCTGCTCCTTGGAACTCAGTCCCAGGAGCAGCAGCAGCTGTTCCTCCAAGATGTGGCATCTTGGTATCCCTTACAACAACCCTGTGGTGCTGGTCTTACCAAGCCAGCCAATGCCAGGATTATAGCCATGCTGGGGCAGTTGTGGGGCTCAACGTGTGGCTTAAGACATGACCCCCCCCCCCGCCAGCCTCTGCAGCTCGGCTTCCTTGTTCCTGCTTCCTCCAAGAGGCTCTGGTGGCCACCCTTGGCGGCTCAATGGTTTCTTCTTTTCCAGTGTTTCCTGCAAGCGAGGAGCAACGGAGGAGGTGGGGTTGCAGAGGTTAACTGCAGCCAGCTGCGAGAGTGTTTGCCTGTGGGGCGGGAGAGCCTGGCCCTCTCTGGCTGTGCTCTGCCCAGGACTCGCCTGCCAGCGCAGCTTTCTGATCCAAGTTCCCTACATCCTGTTTTTATCCTGGTGGGTGTGGACACAACAAGGACTGAGTCACTCCCCAGCTGTACAGGAGTCCTGGACTGCAGAGCTAGGCCCAGTTCCTAGAGGGAGGGGGCTGGGGTGACCTTTGGGAGGAGAAGCACCCATCTCTTCCAGCACTCTGGGGAAGAAGCCTGCAAGCTGGACCTTGCAGAGCGCAGCTGAGCTGGGGAACTCCCTCCTGCAGGCCCTTAACTTGGATGACTTTAAAAGAGGATTAGACAAAAGGGGCTCTTGATGGCTCCACAGCTGGAGGCACTGATGAGGCATCTGAATCCTAGTTGCTGGAAGCCACAGGAGAGGCGAGAGAGGGCTGCTCTCGCACTCGGATCTCATAACCTGCCTCCATCTGCTCAGCCACTGTGAGAGCTGGAGGCTGGACTAGATGGGGACCCCTTTGGCTTGACCCAGCAGGCTCTCCTTGCCTCCTTCTGACCAGCAGTGACCCCATCTGGTTCCCCCAAGCAGCTGGCACTGGGGGCCCTTTCCTGCCTCTGACTGCGGAGGGAGAGACAGGGCCAGCGGAGCTAGGAGCCATCGGTGTCGCCTCTCAGTTGGGCAGTTGAGTTGGGATCCCTGCCTTGCAGGGGGTGGGACCAGAGGACCCTCGACGTCTTCAGCGTCTCAGAGGCCAGGGGAAGCTGCGGCCTGCCCTTGGTTCCTGGAGGGGGAAACGCTGCGCATCATGGAAAGTGGCAGGCAGCATGTTCTCCACAGGAAGTCAGTTGCCCTCCCCGCTCTCAGCGCATGTGGTGGCCTCCCTTTGCTCTGCTCAACCGCAACCCTCCGGAGACGTTGCCCCATCTCTGTGGGGATGCTGTAGAGCTGGGAAATGGGGAACCTCTCCCGGGCCTTGAGCAACTCCCCTGGGAGGGAGCTGGCCTCATTTTGGCCCCCAAGTGGCTTGTAAAGGTAAAGGGACCCCTGACCATTAGGTCCAGTTGTGGCCGACTCTGGGGTTGCAGCGCTCATCTCGCTTTACTGGCCGAGGGAGCCGGCATCCAGCTTCCGGGTCATGTGGCCAGCATGACTAAGCCGCTTCTGGCGAACCAGAGTAGCGCACGGAAACGTCGTTTACCTTCCCGCCAGAGCGGTACCTATTTATCTACTTGCACTTTGAGGTGCTTTCGAACTGCTAGGTTGGCAGGAGCAGCGACCGAGCAACGGGAGCTCACCCCGTCGCGGGGATTCAAACCGCCGACCTTCTGATCGGCAAGCCCTAGGCTCTGTGGTTTAACCCATGGCACCACCCGTGTCCCATTGGCTTTAAAAGAGGATCAGACAAATTCATAGAGGAGGAGGAGGAGGACTGTCAATGGCCAAGATGGCAATTGTCTCTTGGTCTCACTTGCTGGAAACTGCTGGAGGGGAGAGGGCTGCTCTTGTGCCCAAATTCTGCTTTGCGGCTTCTGGTTGGCCTCTGGGAGAGCAGGATGGGCCATGGGCCTGATCCAGCAGCCAGGCTCTTCTTATAGTCTTACGCAACCTCCAGGTCCAGAGGCAGTCTACAGTGGTACCTCAGTTACATATGCTTCAGGTTACATACGCTTCAGGTTACAGACTCCGCTAACCCAGAAATATTGCTTCAGGTTAAGAACTTTGCTTCAGAAGAGATACTCTGGCAGCACAGCGGCAGCAGGAGGCCCCATTAGCTAAAGTGGTGCTTCAGGTTAAGTACAGTTTCAGGTTAAGAATGGACCTCCGGAACGAATTAAGTACTTAACCCGAGGTACCACTGTATCTGGATTCCTGGGTTCTTCAAGGTATTTGGCCACTGCGAAAAGATGGGCCATGGGTCTGAGCCAGCAGCCAGCCTGCCTCTCCTTAAGGTAAAAGGTAAAGGTACCCCTGCCTGTACGGGCCAGTTTTGACAGACTCTAGGGTTGTGCGCCCATCTCACTCAAGAGGCCGGGGCCAGCGCTGTCCGCAGACACTTCCGGGTCACGTGGCCAGCGTGACATCGCTGCTCTGGCGAGCCAGCCCAGCACACGGAACGCCGTTTACCTTCCCGCCAGTAAGCAGTCCCTATTTATCTACTTGCACCCGGGGGTGCTTTCGAACTGCTAGGTGGGCAGGCGCTGGGACCGAACAACGGGAGCGCACCCCGCCGCGGGGATTCGAACCGCCGACCATGCAATCGGCAAGTCCTAGGCGCTGAGGTTTTACCCACAGCGCCACCCGCATCCCTGGCCTCTCCTTAGCTTCTTATTTTTTTTTGATTCCTTTAATTTAGGGGGAAAGGCAAGGAAGGGGAGCAGACATGGCAGAGATGATGCCTGAAGTGGAGAATGTGGGTCATCCTCCAGCCCCACATAGGGTTCCCAAAGTCCTACCCTCTGCGATGCAGGAATTGCAGTCAGAGAATATCTGACAGGTGGCCATCAACCCTCTGCTTTGAAACCTCCAGGGAAGCAGAGCCACCGCTTTCCCCAGAAAACGGCCCTTTTTGTGCCTTGTCAGGGTGAGAAAATTCCTGGTCTTGAAATCCCTGCCATCGAGCTTCTCTGAAGGGCCCCTTGCGATTGGAGTCTCCTTGGAGAGACTCTTCCAGGGGAAGAGGGAGGTGGACAAGGAGGCCGGCCAGATGTGCTGCTGCAGCTGCTGCCCCTGCTTAGCCCACGGAAGTAGACTGGCACCATGCCAGCCCTGTCTGGGCTCATGGCTCTCCTCTCTCCCCATGGCTGACTGACCGAACCCAAAGGGTGCTCATCAATGGTTCCTCTTCATCCTGGAGAAGAGTGACTAGTGGGGTGCCACAGGGTTCTGTCTTGGGCCCGGTCTTATTCAACATCCCTATCAACGACTTGGATGATGGACTCAAGGGCATCCTGATCAAATTTGCAGATGACACCAAACTGGGAGGGGTGGCTAACACCCCAGAGGACAGGATCACACTTCAAAACGACCTTGACAGATTAGAGAACTGGGCCAAAACAAACAAGATGAACTTTAACAGGGAGAAATGTAAAGTATTGCACTTGGGCAAAAAAAAATGAGAGGCACAAATACAAGATGGGTGACACCTGGCTTGAGAGCAGTACATGTGAAAAGGATCTAGGAGTCTTGGTTGACCACAAACTTGACATGAGCCAAGAGTGTGACGCGGCAGCTAAAAAAGCCAATGCAATTCTGGGCTGCATCAATAGGAGTCTAGCATCTAGATCAAGGGAAGTAATAGTGCCACTGTATTCTGCTCTGGTCAGACCTCACCTGGAGTACTGTGTCCAGTTCTGGGCACCACAGTTCAAGAAGGACACTGACAAACTGGAACGTGTCCAGAGGAGGGCAACCAAAATGGTCAAAGGCCTGGAAACGATGCCTTATGAGGAACGGCTAAGGGAGCTGGGCATGTTTAGCCTGGAGAAGAGGAGGTTAAGGGGTGATATGATAGCCATGTTCAAATATATCAAAGGATGTCATATAGAGGAGGGAGAAAGGTTGTTTTCTGCTGCTCCAGAGAAGCGGACACGGAGCAATGGATCCAAACTACAAGAAAGAAGATTCCACCTAAACATTAGGAAGAACTTCCTGACAGTAAGAGCTGTTTGACAGTGGAATTTGCTGCCAAGGAGTATGGTGGAGTCTCCGTCTTTGGAGGTCTTTAAGCAGAGGCTTGACAACCATATGTCAGGAGTGCTCTGATGGTGTTTCCTGCTTGGCAGGGGCTTGGACTCGATGGCCCTTGAGGTCTATTCCAACTCTATGATTCTATGATTCATCTGAGGTGAGGCAGCACCATGTCTTGCCTTGAACAGGCGGGGCATTAAAGGAGGGCCATTGCCCAGCCAGGGCATCTCCCCAGTGCGGCTCATCAGGTGGAACTGGCTGCCCATTCACGGGGCAGGGGCTTCCCGGTTGGCACAATGTGTGAATTGCTGTGATTGTGCTGTTCTAATAATTGGGTTTCCCCAGCCACTCTGGGCAGCATCCAACAGATTAAAAACAGAATAAAACATCAAACATTAAAAACTTCCATATACAGGGCTGCCTTCAGATATCTTCTAAAAGTCAGATAGTTCTTTATCTCCTTGACATCTGATGGGAGGGCATTCCATAGGGCAGGTGCCACCACCAAGAAGGCCCTCTGCCTGGTTCCCTGTAACCTCCCTTCTCGCAATGAGGGAACTGCTAGAAGGCCCTTGGAGCTGGACCTCAGTGTCCGGGCTGGATAATGGGGGTGGAGATGCTCCTTCAGGTATACTGGGCCGAGGCCGTTTAGGGCTTTTAAGGTCAGCACCAACACTTTGAATTGTGCTCGGAGACGTTCTGGGAGCCAATGCAGATCTCTCAGGACCGGTGTTATGTGGTCTCGGCGGCTGCCCCCAGTCACCAGTCTAGCTGCCACATTCTGGATTAGTTGCAGTTTCCGAGTCACCTTTAAAGGGAGCCCCACGTAGAGCGCATTGCAGTAGTCCAAGCGGGAGATAACTAGAGCATGCACCACTCTGGCAAGATAGTTAGCGGGCAGGGAGGGTCTCATCCTGTGTACCAGATGGAGCTGGGAGACAGCTGCCCTGGACACAGAATTAACCTGCACCTCCACGTACAGCTGTGTGTCCAAAATGTCTCTGCGCACCTGCTCCTTCAGGGACACAGTTGCCCCATTCAGGACCAGGGAGGCCCCCACACCTGTTGTTGGAGGCTGCCTGTCTTCAGCATCACTGGTCAGAAGGATGGGTCACAGGTTTGATTTAAAAGCTAATAAATTAAGGTGTAGCCCCATTGCAGGTATTTCTTGTGTGATGTGTGTGTTTGTGTGCATTTCAATGAACTGAACAGAATGAAAGCTTGTGAGTCATTTGGGGCAGGGAAGCAAGAGAGAGAGAGTGTATGAACTTTTAAAAGTTGTTATTTTGACATTATGGCTTTATAGATTATAAATGCCTTATTGATTTAATCGTGTAATATGACTTATGCTGTCATTGTGACATTTAGCTTGCTTTTTTTAGTTGGTTGGTTAAACAGTGTTTCGTTTATTCGTTGATTCCATTTGCATACTGCCCTTCATCCATGGATCTCGGTGGTTCACAACAGAACAGCGCAAGATAAAAAAATACATCATAAAAACAAGAGCCCCAAATCCTGCACAAGCCCCCTCCCAAAAAGACAGAAGTGGAGTCTAGGCAAGTTCATATGGGGAGAGGCTGTGCTTTACGTTTTCTGGTTTTGTAGATTGTAAGTGTTTTACTGATGATTTGCTAATTATAGGATTTATGCTGTACTTTGAATCATATAATTGTAGAATTGGAAGGGAACCTCAGGGTCATCTAGTCCAACCCCCTTTCAATGCAGGAACCTCAGTTCTTCTCTGCTTCCTCCGAGGAAGGAGAGTCGAGCACCTTCCCAGGGAGTCCGTTCCCCAGTCCAACGGCTCTTTCTGTCAGTTGCCTAGAGCCTGGTGCTGAGAATGCCCTGGTTGCAGGTTCAATCCCCCTCTGGGACAACTGCATATTCCTGCGTTGCTGCGGGTTGGGCTGGATGACCGCTGGGGGTCCCCCTTCCAACTCTACAAATTCTGTGATTCTACCAGATTTCTTTTTGAGGGCCTCCTGGATGCCAGCAAACCTTTGGCTCCTCTCCCCCTGGCAGCCTTGGCTCTATTTTCTTTGGCTAAAAATAGCCTCCTGCTTCAGCCGTTTGTTCCTCATATGATCGGCCTTTATCTCGCACATGTCAGCATCCTTTGTGCGCTGCTGGGAGGGGCAGCCTTTGCCAAAGCCCCCGAGCTTTTGCCCTGCTGTTGCTCTGAGAAGAAGCCTCCTCTGGAGGAGAAACAGGATCATGTGGCCGACCCAAGTCTCGAGGGCAGCCCAGCCTCCCTTGCCCCAAAGTGCCTGTTCACTGCATTTCTAGCTCACCTTTTTCCTCCAAGGAGCTCCAAGTGACATACATATGTCTCTCTCCCCCCCCATCTCATTTAAACCGCACAACGACCCTGTGAGGTAGGTGAGGCTAAGAGGCAGGGACTGGCCCCCAGGGTCGCCCAGTGAGCTTCATGGCTGAGGGGGCGGGATTTGAACCCAGGTCTTTCCAGGGTCCTAGCTGGGGAAACCCAGCCAGATGGGCGGGGTATAAATAATAAATTTTCATTATTATTATTATTATTATTTATTATGACTAATGCATATCTGCCTTCTGTGGGGTGGCAAAGATCTGATCTGATCTGCCCAGGTCCTCCCCCAGGACCCCTAAAAGCCGCCCTCAGCCCCACTCTGCCCTTTCAATGATCCTGTTCAAGGTCAGATATCCAAAGCGCCCTGTTCCCTTTCCATCAGGTATACCCAAAGTGGGCAGTGGGGTTACCTGGAGGTGGGGTTGCGAAGAGACAAGGGGGCAGCTGAAAGCTGTTTGTTGAATTAATTCAACCGAAGTGTGTCAGTTTTCCCTTGCCTGGGTTGGAGGTCTTTAAGCAGAGGCTGGAGGGCTTCTTTTGAGCTGGGACTCCTGCCTTGCAGGGGGGCTGGACTAGAAGACCCTTGGGGGTCCCATAAGACCCCTGTGCCCCTCCTTGCCCCCTCTGTGATTCCTTCTGCCAGCCCTTGCCCTTCTCCTCCCTCCCTCCCTGCAGGCTACGGCTACACCACGCCTCTCTCGGACGCGGGCAAGGCCTTCTGCATCTTCTACGCACTGCTGGGCGTCCCCTTCACCATGCTGGTGCTCACGGCCACCGCCCAGCGCCTGCTGGGCACCTTCACCTCCGGCCCCCTGGAGTACCTGGCGCTGCGCTGTGGCCACAGCCGGCGGGCGCTCTCCTGCGGGCACCTCGTCTTCCTGGCACTGGTGGTGCTGGTGGCCTTCTTCCTGATCCCGGCCGCCATCTTCAGTGCCCTGGAGGAGTCCTGGAGCTTCCTGGACGCCTTCTACTTCTGCTTCATCTCCCTCTGCACCATCGGCCTGGGCGACTACGTCCCTGGGGAGCAGCCCGGCCAGCGCCTCCGCTCCCTCTACAAGGTCTCCATCACCGGTGAGCAGCTCTGCGCCGGCCGAGGGCAAGGCGGGCAGCGGGGGTGAGCAGGGCCGGGTTGAGGTTTGATGAGGCCCTCAGCTCCTGAAGGGAATGGGGCCCTTTCTATGTCCAGCTGTCCTTTGTCAACAACAAATCATCACTGGGTTTTATTGGTGTTGAATACAGTCATACCTCGGGTTACAGACGCTTCTGGTTGTGTGTTTTTCGGTTGTGCACCGCTCTGAACCTGGAAGTATCAGAACGGGTTACTTCTAGGTTTCAGCGCTCGCGCATGCGCAAAAACACTAAATAATGCTTTGTGCATGCACAGAAGCACCTAATTGCGACCAGCCCGTGTGCAGACCCAGCGCTGCGGGTTACGAACGTGCCTCCCGCATGGATCACGTTCGCAAACCGAGCATCCACTGTATATGGTAATTGATGGACCTCATAGGTATCTCAAGCCATTTGCCCATGTTGCCCTGCAAGCAGTCCATGCAGAATGTGGGACCCTATATATAGAAAGGAGCAAAGCAGGGATATTTGAGGGAGCAGGCGAGCACGCAGGGCCCATGACTTGCATCCTAGGAGCTGACACAACACAAAACACAGTTGCTGTACGTAGGTTTTATTTTACAGTGGTTCTGATCCAGTGATCCTGGTTGCGAACAGGATCCGTTCCGGAGGCCCGTTCGCAACATGAAAAGAGTGCAACTTGCAGTGGCGCGTCTGCTCATGCGCATGACGTTATTTTGTGCTTCTGTGCATGCATGAGCATTGAAACCCGGAAGTAACCCTTTCCGGTACTTCCGGGTCGCTGTGGGACGTAACCTGAAAGAACGTAACATGAAGCGGACATAACCAGAGATATGACTGTATTTGTTTTTTCTCTTATATTTTGGAAATCTACGTCCACTTGTTTTTTCCCTTTAATTTTTTTTGAGGCCCCCAAGAGAGTGGGGCCCTAAGCTAGAGCTTGTTGAGCTTATACATAAATCCGGCACTGGGGGTGAGGATAGTTACAACTGCGGGACTCCCTGCTGCAGGAGCTGGCCATGGCTTTGAAAGAGAACTGGGCCGATCCATGGAGCAGAGCTGGCTCCCAGTCAGGATGGCTTTGCTCTGCCCTCCACCATTGGAGGCAGCCGTGCTTCTGAATATCAGTCGCTGGAAACGGCAGGAGGGGAGAGGGAGGGGCTCTCACGTTCTGCTTTTCCCCCAGAGGCACCTGGACTCTGGGACAGGCGGGTCCTTGGGCGTGATCCAGCAGGTTCTCCTTGCGGAGCCTCCATGCCCAGGGACAGTCTACCTCTGAAAGGGGGAACTGCAGGGGCAGAGTCCTCTTGCACTTCCCTCCGGGGCAAGTGATCAGCATCCAGAAGCTGGCGGTGGTCTTTTGGGGGGAAGGCGAGGGTCCTCTGAGCTGCTCCAAGCGCCGCAGCCTTGGCTGGAGGAAGCCCCAAAGCGGTGGGCGGGCCGACGGGCGCTTCTGCCATGTGCCAGCCCTTGTGGGGAGGGGGGGTGCTGGTTCCGCCTGCCCTGCCCTGCAACCCCCTCTTTCTTTCCCCCCAGTTTACCTCCTGCTGGGGCTGATGGCCATGCTGCTGCTGCTGCAGACCTTCCACCGGCTGGCCGAGCTGCACGGCCTCTCCGACCTGGTCTTGCTCCCCCAGGAGCAGCCCTGCCAGGAAGACCACCAGCGCATCCTGGACGACCCCCCGCCTCCCCCGGAGCCCCGCCAGGCGGAGAAGACCCCTGTGCAGCCCAGCCCGGGGGGGCAGGCCAACTACTCCTCCATCAACAGATGATCAAGCTGCGGGGATTCCCCGCAGAGGCCCCTTTCCTGGGGGGGTGTGCCTGTTTTACTCCCCTGCCACCCTGTATGCTGAGCCTCTGCCCATGTACAAAGCTTCCTTCTCCTTGGCCCTGTGCTCTTGGTGGGGGGGGGAGGAGAAAGCCCCTCTCGGTGGGCAGGGCCTGAACAAGACCCCGGCTGCTTCCTTTGGGCTTCCAGATTCACATTTCTCGGGTAGTGATTTTATTTGAAAAAGAACAAAGAATGACGTTGGAACTCACGGACACTTGATTCCACACAGGGATAGGAGATTCTGCTGTTGGGGGTGGGCTTCTCTCACGTCCCCCACCCAAATGGCACAGGCTCTATTGCTGCCCCCCCCCACCGCTGAGGCTGCCTAGATTTGCCCCTGAGCAGATTTAACAAGGCCCCTCAGTGGGCAATGGGTCACCCCTCGCCCTGTTCCCCTCTCTATGGGGGGGGCGGGTTTGCTTTCCACCCTTGCCCCCCACAACTTGCAGAGAGCAGCTGCTGGGTTTTAATTTGAACTACAAAACAGGGGCTTCCACCTTGCAGAACCTCATCTCCAGCCAGGACCAGCTTTGCAAGAGCTGAGCTGCTGCAGCCACAGCCCTGTTGCTGTCGGAGGGGAAACTGGCCACAAACAAGCCAGGGGGGTGGGGAGCAAGTTTTGGGGTGGAAGGGAGATGGGAGTCGACTCGCCAATATGAAGTGCCTTTTTGTCCTTTTGCTTTTAATGTACACTTTAATACTTTGTGGAATGAATGGAGAATATTTAAACGGATGGGTCTGGCTTCTGTGCCCTTCAGGGCAGTTTGTGGACGGGGGGGGGGGGCAGGTTGGTGTCACACACACAAGCCCCAAAACACACACAAACACAACCCCCCTGGCTGGTTTGAGGGCAGGAGACCTCGCAGGCGGCGAAGGGAGAAAGGGCACCCCACAAGTTGCTCCGCAGGCCCTCGCTGCCCCCCAGGGCTGGAACTGGGCTCTTTTCTGCCCCCCCCAACCTAAAACCACCCCCTGCCCTCTCCCCTCCCTGCCCCACCTCCCTTCCCAAGAGACACCCACTCCATCGCCTTTTGTAGAAAACCTTTATTGTTCTAGTAACAGCAGTGAGGGGGTGGCAGTGCCCCCGGAGCACCCATCTTGGGGCGGGCGAGGGGGGCGGCCTAAGCCAGGCAAGCAGGGGACTGGCCCTTGTTGCCTCGGGGGGGGGGTGTCTGGATCTCCTAGGACGGATGTGGCGCTGGTGGGGGGGTTTGAAGCCCTTCTCTGCCAGTTCTAGAGGCTGCAAGATCAAGGGGGCACATGGACCCAGTTTTGAATGTATTTTTCCAAAACCAACCCTCGGGGGGGGGGAGGTTCTCCCCATCCTCATTACAGCTTTGGGATGGGGGGCCACTTACCCCACATCGCAGCGGGGGGTGGCGGCCCACCCAGCAAGGCATCCTGGTTTTCTTTGGCGAACAGACTGGGTTGCCCAGGGGGCACCAGAGAATTTGGTCCAGACTCTGGGGCGAGGTGCACGAGGCTCCAGCATCTAAAGGCCCAGGAGGCTGGGGATGTGTGCGGAAAAGAGGGCGCAGGGCCTCGTGCAGAGTGCCTCTCCCTCCCTGAGGTGATGCAGAAATAGCCTCTGTGCCATCGCCCCCCCCAGCTGGCGAGGAAAGTGGCCTGGCCTTTACAAAAGCATCTTCCAAAGGCATAAAAGCAATGGGGCAAATCCAGTGGGGCAGAGTGGAGGCTGTTTAAATTGGGGGGGGGGGACGACAAGCTCAGTTTGCTGGATGCCACCCCTCCTTCCCAAGGCAGGTTCTTTTTTGATACAAGTATTTCCTCAATGATGGGTGATTAAATCCTATTTTGCGACTTCTGCGCTGATGCAGCAGGCCAGGTTGGGAGTGGACAAGAGCTGCTTCCGCCCCCCCCCCCCAATATAAGTGCATTTCCAGGCCGCCTCCTCTGGGTCTCCCTGGGTGAGGAGCCTCCATTTGCCAGGGGGGGGGGGAAAGAGGAATTTTGTCCCGGGCCGCCCCTCCCCTCCCAGTCTATACAGGTAAATAAATACTTTTCCCCAGCCTCTTCCTCCCCGCTTGCTCAGGCTCGACTGCGGGGGGCAGGGACACAGCGGGGGGGCTGCCCAGCGGGCACGGTGCCGCGAGGGCACAGGCAGCGGTAGGAGCCCTCCATGTTGAGGCAGCGCCCCCCTGGGCAGAGGTGCTCCGACTCGCCACACTCATCGACATCTGCAGAAGAGGGAGAGAGACGAAGGGGCTGAAAGGGGCAGCCACACCTTGGCATGGGCAAAGAGGCAGAGGCTGCGCAAAAGGGGGTTGGGATAGATGGCACTTGGAGGTCCCACCCCCAGGCATGCCAGGATGGCGGGGCGGGGGGCAGACTCACCCAGGCAGGCCATGCGGGCGGGGTCCAGGCGGTAGCCCTCGTGGCAGTCGCAGGTGAATCCGTCGCCAACGCGGACGCAGCGCCCGTTCTCGCAGCCGCTCAGGATCCCACACTCCTCGGCCAGGAGACCCCCAAATCCCTCAAAGGGGCCTGGGAGGGGGGGCAAGAGAGATGGGCAAGCGGAAGAGGAAACGTGGCCAGGTCTGGTCTCCTCCCCGCAGGAAGGATTTTGTAGAGTTCGGAAAGGGCCGCACAAAGGATCCAGGGGGAAGGAGCGACGCCCCTGCGAGGAAGGGGGCAGCCCATGGGGCTTTCCAGCTTAGGAAAAAGCAGTCGTTTTTCTGGGGGTACACAGACCCCGAAACATTTTGTGAATCTTTGTACTTTTGTCCATTTACTGTACAGTGGTACCTCTGGATACGAACGGGATCCGTTCCGGAGCCCCGTTCGCATCCAGAAGCAAACGTAACTAACAATGGCACGTCTGCGCACACGCACGTCGCTTTTCGCCGCTTCTGCGCATGTGCGTGACGTCATTTTGAGCATCTGCGCGAATGGCGAAACCTGGAGGTAACGCGCTCTGTTACTTCCGGGTTGCTGCAGAGCGCAATCTGAACGCGCTCAACATGAAGCATATTCAACCCGAGGTATGACTGTACAGTCATACCTCATGTTACATTTGCTTCAGGTTGAGCATTTTCAGGTTGCGTCCCGTGGCAACCCAGAAGTACCGGAAAGGGTTACTTCCGGGTTTCGCCGCTCGTGCATGTGCAGACGCGCAAAATGATGTCACGTGCATGTGCAGAAGCAGCAAATCGTGGAACGTGCAGACGCGGATCCTGTTCACAATCAGAGGTACCACTGTATTTATTTATTTTTCTTGATTTGGACTATAAAACGGTGGTTTTCTCGAGTCAAAATGAGAGTACCCCTAAGCATTTTTTAAGCAAAAAAAAAAAAAAAAAAGCACTGGGGAAAAGCCATGGGAGTCGTAGATGAACTTAACGCCCAGCCTGGAGAAAGATTTCCTCTCTCCTAACACTAGAACTTGCGGATGTCCAATGAACAGATCCAGGGCAGATTTAGAAAAAAGGGCTGATTTCTTTGGCACAAAGTTAAACTGTGGAACTCCCTCCCACCGGAGGCAGCTGCGGCCACAGGTCTGGATGGCTTTCAAATAGGGTAAGACCACATCCACGGTGACAGCTGGCTCTTTGCCATGATGGCTCTGCTCTGCCTCTGTGGGTCAGAAGCAATCTCTGCTTCCGATTCCCAGTTGTTGAAAACCGCAGGAGGGAAGAGGGGTCTTGGGTGCGGATCCTGCTTGTGGAGGCTTCCCACTGGGGCATCTGGTTGCCCACGGTGTGAAGAGGACCCTGGACTATACGAGCCACAGACCTGACCTACTAGCCAGTCCCTTTTGATGGAACCTCCAGGTGCAGAGGCAGTCTACCTGGGTTCTTTGGGGTACCTGGCCCCTGTGAGAACAGGAGGTTGGACTAGATGGGCCAATGGCCTCATCCACAGCAGGGTCACCCCCACTTCCCACCAGAGCCCCTCCACTCACCATAGTCCTCGCTGGCCCTTCCTGGCCTTTCCAGGTAGGAGCTGGATCCGCTGCGGGGCGGGGGGAGGTGCCATTCGGGCTCGGGGGGGCTGCGGGGCCGGTACACCCCCCGGGGGGTCTCTTCGGGGCCCTCCCGCCTGGCCTCGCCGTAGGGCAGGTCCTCAAAGTCGGTGGCCTCGTAGGGCGAGGGGCCGTACAGGGAGTCGCGGGGGAAGAGGTCGTAGTCCGGCAGGCGGGGGGGTCCGGGGCGCGGCGGGGGGGCGAAGATCTCTGGGCCGTAGGGCAGACCGCCGTACTCAAAGGGCGGCCCCACATCTCCCGGGCGCGGTCCTGCTCCGTAGCCGGTGGGGGGGCGGAGGACGTTGCAGAGGGTCTCAAAGTCATCTGGTTGGGGGGAGAAGGACATTGTTGGTCAGGGAGGAGGGTCACAAGGCCTCTTCTCTACCCCCTTCCCAAGGGCCGCAAACCCAGAAGTGAGTGTTGCGGTTTGTGAACGTTTCTCGAAGCTGAACGTCTGAGCCGCCTTGGTTTTCAAATGGACTCCCAGAACGGATTAAGTTTGACAACCAAGGTACGAGTGCCTTTGGCCCCTGGGAGGCCAGGATGCTGGGCTCGATGGGCCTGATCCAGCAGGACTTCAGCTGCAGCGCCTTCCCCGCAGCCCCCCGTGGGTCTTACCTGAGTCCGGGGCTGGGCACAGCGCACAGTCCATGCTCCAGGCCTCGCCATAGAGGCAGCAGCACTCGGTGTAGGTGACCTGGCGGTCCAGGAGGGGGCGGCTGCAGACCAAGTCGGGCCCCACCTCTTGCCAGCACACGGCCAGGTTGTCATCTGGAAGGCGGGGAGAGCGGGAGAAATGGAGAAACCGCCCCAAGGCGCCCCAAGGAGAAATGGAGAAACTGCCCCAGGCCCCCTCTCCCCAGGGCCCAAACCTGCGCGGATCCTGTTCACACGGATCCGGCGGAGTGGTGGAGAAGTAAACACGGAGAGCCCAAATGACCAGATCTGGATCTGGGGCTGAGTTTACGGAACCAAGGAGTCAGATCCTGGAAAAAGTTTGGGATCCGCTGAGCATCAGCCCTCCGTAGGAATCTCACACGGAGTGATCCCTTCCAAAATCCTGAGGGATCAAACCGCAAAAGAACTGGTGAGGCTGAAGATGGCCAAAAAAAATTAGCCTCTGGAACCTAACGCCACAAGATTTTGCAACAGCTAGCCCATAACTTTGGGGAAAGAGGTGAGCCCAGAAGGGTTCAGAACTGCTTCCCCCAGGACCACGGACTTTGCACCCAGAGTTAAGTACGAGAAACGGAGGCCCAGCACACCTGCCCACCCTCCCAGGTGCCCCCTGCCCGTGAATGGGACGCCGAGGGCCCCCCAGGCCCTTAACTGCCTTAGCCGCAAAGTGGGGAGGGAAGGGGGGTTCTGTGTTGCATTAAGGGCACCCCTAAATTGTCCCGCTCACTTGATCCCTGGGTTTCTCCAAAAACCAGGATGAGGAGCTGGGTTGGGCAAAATGCTCCGGATGAATGAATCTGGGATCTCTGGAGAAGGATCACGGAACAGCAGATTTGGAAGCAGGGCCGTCTTAAGCATATCTGAGGTGGGCAGCGGCTGGAGGGCGGCTCCTCCGGCGGGGAAGAGGCGGGGCTGGATGTGGCGCCTCCTGGCTCAGCGGGCCGCTTTGTGCCGGGTGGCCACGGCAGGCAGCACGAGCGAGTGAGGGCGCATGTGCCGCTCCTGCCAAAACCGAGGTGTGATGGCCTGGAATTTGGAGTCTGATGCTGAACCTGAGGGATCCCAGCCTGCACAGGAGTCCCCGCCTCCCGAACCAGTGAGTCTGCTCTGGCTCCTGTGGTGATGGAGGACCCACTGCCTGTAGGTGCCCCACTCTCAGCCCCATCAGGGAAGGCTGAGGTTGCCTCTGGGTCCGGTCACCCTCCAGCCTCTCCTGCGCTGCAGAGGCTCAGGGCAGAGAGGCAGAGGGAACTAAGTTCCCGCAGGAGGAGGGCTTGCCTCCAGGCCAGGAGAGGCGAGTCACCAGAGGATTGGGGCCGCCCTATGCCTTGGGGCAGATAAAAGCCGGCCAGCCCCAGTCCCAAGTTGCGGGAGCAATATTGCTGGTTGCTAGTTCCTTCCTGAACCCTGTCCTGCTTTCCTGCCTGAGCTCCTGACCTGCCCTGGCTCCCTGCTTGCAAGCCTGTCCCTGACTTCACCCGACTCCCTGCCCTCACCCAGCTCCAGCTACTACGGACTGCCTCCACGTTGCACCTTTGACCATGGACCGGACTTGGACCACGCCTCTCGGGTAACGCATGGGACCAACACACGAGCCAACACTCTGCAGGAGTGGCGCACACACCCTCGCTCACTCAGAGCGCTCGTTCGGTGTTCCCTGGACTCTCGCCTGGCGCCCTCCAGAACTTGCCGCCCTGTGCCACTGGTCTCTATGGGTAAGACGGGCCTGGTTGGGAGGGAGCCCATGCAGGAATCGAAGGGAGGAAGGGAGTCAGAGGGAGGGCAGGATGGGTCAAGGAGAGGGAAACAGCCGAGGGGGGAAATTGGGAAGTGGGTGGGTGTGGGGAGGGGAGGGGTCTGCCCCATACCTGCGCTTTGACTGTCGTTGGTCACACAGCGGCGATGCGAAGCGTCCAGCACCAGAGGGGCGGCGCAGGAGCAGTAGTAGGAGCCAATGGTGTTGATGCAGCGCCCCCCCACGCAAGGCTCCGCCTCCTCGTCAAGGCACTCGTCGTTATCTGGGGAGGGACAAGGGGGGGTCAGAGGAGCAGGGGGGCCCTTCGTTTTGCAAAATCAGAGAATTGCAGAGTCGGGAAAAGACGCCAAGGATCATGCAACCCTCTGCAATTTAGCTGGTTCCTAAAGTTTATACGCCGCTCGATTGCAAAAACAACAGCTAAGCTTCTTCCAGAAAAATATAATATAGCTATCAATAATAGTTTAAGACGTTCAGAAATTTAATAGGCTTAAAACAGATTGAACATCTGGGTTAGGCTCAGTGCTTCTTTTTTCTGGGGGAGATGCATAGCCCTAAACATTTTGCGAATCTTTCTACTTTTGTCCATTTACTGTCAAAATGAGAGTACCCCTAAACATTTATTTTTTTAGGGGGGAAAGCACTGGTTCGGCTTCTCTAAATGGGAACGTTTCAAGCACAGTGAAGGTGGCGCGGCCTGATTTCAAGAGGCAGGGAGTTCCAAAGGGTCAGGGTTAATTGATTTCTTGCCAATGTGGGCAGCCTGTGGCACCTGCAGGAGTGCCAGGTCTGCTGATGCAGCTGGTCAAGTGGGCACGTTTGGGTGTGAGGAGGGACCTGTTTACCCGTGGGGTCCCTCAGGGGCATAATTGGGGCAACAGGGTTTGGAGGCGGACAGAAGCTCTCACCAATGCACTCCAAGTGCTGCGTCTCGTAGTAGTAGCCATTGGGGCAGTAGCAGGCGTAGCCGGGGATCTTGTTGACGCAGACGCCCCCCTTGCACACCTGGGCGTTGAAGAGGGCGCACTCGTCCACATCTGCCCAGGACAAGAAGAGGGTCAGCGAGAGAGAGCCCCCCAGGACCAAGGGCACAGCGCCTAGAAACCCCACTGCTTCCCGGGCGCCAAGGACAGACCCAGGAAGGTGGGCAGGGCACAGGTTCCCCCCGACAAAAGCCCCCCAAGAGACCAAATCTCACCTGCGAGGGCGGAGAGGCTTCCGGTGCCGGGGGCAGCGAAGCCGTTGCCGTGAGGACACAGGGCCTGGTATTCAGCTGGGGGGCGGAAGGAGGAGAGGACCCGTCAGCAGCGCCCAAGGACCCCCCGCTCCTGCCCTGCTTGCAGAACCCTGCAGAAGCTCACCCCCCCCATAACAGGCAGTGTGGCCTAGTGGTTGGAGTGTCAGACTAGGACATGGGTGGGCAAACTAAGGCCTGTGGGCCGGATCAGGCCCATTTGCCTTCTAAATCCGTCCTGCGTGTCGAAATCTCCGTTTGACTGAGCTACTCCTCCGGTCGAGCCTTTGGAATCTCCGAAGATGATTAACGACCTAAGCCTTTGATGAGGCTTCAGGCACGTTCACTCATTACACAGAGTATCCAAGCGGCAGAAGGATGAGAAATATGAGCTACATTGCTAAGAGTTTTATTTCTAACTACACAGACAGAAAAGAATATACATCCTCTCTCTGTGAAAGGCAGAGAACAACTGGTACAAAGAAACGGGAAACCAGTAACATCAACATCCGTCTCCCGTGAGACTTCCAACAGTCTGGAATATAAACAGAGTCTTGTGACTCCAAGCACTGTGCAGGGCGGACGCTCCAGGAATCGCCGCCTGGATTGCCAGCACGCGTGTTCTTTCCCTCTCCCTCCCAGGGTGGCGGCGCTGGTGCCTCCTCCCTCCCTCCTCCTGGCTTCTCCCCGTCCTGCCTAGAGGAGGAAGGGGGCTGGGCTTTGTTGGTGCCAGCCCCTCTCCGCTCATTGTCCCTCCGCCGCCACTGCCATCAGCCCTGACCACTTGCAAGACACAGGAGCCGTGGTTGGCTGAGCGCCCCCTTGAGCGGCCGCCATTTAAAGCAGCCCCCATGTGGAGCCCTTTCGCGCGCTGCTCATCGTCCCTCCATCGCCGTTCATGCCCCCCCCAAATAGTCCAGCCCCCGACAAAGTCAGCCTAGCCTACCTCACAAGGTTGTTGTTGCGGGAATGAAATGAGACGAGGGCTCGAATCCCCCCTCAGGCTCTGGGCTCAGTGGACCCTTCCTGGCCTGAGTGGGGTCCTTACCTGTCCCTGGGGCGGGGCAGGCCTGGATGTGGCAGTCGACCCCCCAGCCGTGGCCCAGGCTGCAGCAGCACTCCTGGCGCGTGGCGTTCCAGGCCAAGACGTTCTCGCAAGCCTGCGCTGCGTTGGGGTCATAGTAGCATTCCCGCCGGACGCCCTCGCCGGTCCCAGAGGGCCAGGTCTCGGGCCGCGGAGCCTCGGGGCGCCGAGGGAAGGCAGGAGGCCGCGCTGGAAAAGGCGGAAGGGGGGAGAGTTGGAGGAGGTCTGGGAAAGAGCAGCCGGGATGTCCAGGGGTGAAGTGACTCCCCAATGGTGAAAGGACCCCCTCAGCCCCAACTCCAAGCCTCTCACCGGCTCCTGGCACAGCAACACAGCGCCCGATCATGGGGTCAAATTCTTCGCCCGCCCGGGGCAGATGCAGAGGAAGGAGCCCTCCACATTCTCACAGGGGGCAGTGCCACACACCCCTTGCAGCATCTCGCACTCGTTCATGTCTGTGGGCGGCAGCAAAGGCGGGGGTGATGGCAGAGGGACTCAATAGGGAACTGCCCCCACCTGCCCCGTCCCCTCTGCCCCTTGTCCCCCACCCGGCAGCATGCCAGGTACCCTCGGAGGAAGCCCCTTCCCCAGGAGACCTTGGTGGAGAACGTGGGCATTGCCAACCTCCCTCGCTCGCCCCGGCCACGTACCCAGGCAATGGCGCCCGTCCCTGGCGCTCTCGTAGCCCTGGTCACAGATGCACTGGAAGGAGCCGGGCAGGTTGTGGCAGACGGCGTGGGCGCCACAGAGGGAGCTGTTCTGGCACTCGTCCACATCTGGAAAACACCAGGGCAACCCACTCAGCACTCTCTCTCTCCCTCCACCCACTGCAGGCTTGTGTGGGGTGTGTTATGGAAGTAGCAGTCAAGTACAACATTCCTTGTTTTCCTAGAGTAGACATGCAGGAATGTTTGGACCAGGCAGTCGAAAACTTCTTGTTTCCTCGTGGCCTGGAGCATCCTTCCTCTTGCATGTGACTAGAGGTGGGTGTGACTTTACCTGTCCAGGTAACCAAAGGACAAGTCACACAGCACACTCTCTCTCTGACTTCCTCCATCGTTGGAGCAGTTTTTAGCTAGAGATGCTCTGTTAGCTTCCAGCCACCAGAGGACACTGGGATTAACCCCATATGGGATAGATCCACATGTATATCCTTTGTAACTAAGTCCGCCTTCAGGGATCCAACTGTGAACTGATGATGTGAGTAAACTTGTTTTATATACTTGACACAAGACTGCAGCGTGTTTATTCTTTTAAGAGGAATATAAGGGAACTTGCCAGGAACTTAATAGTGAGAGGCTTACACAAGCCTGCAATCAGCTACCCACTGTGAGTTTAAAAGGGGAATGTGAAACTCTGCTAAGTAAAGGGACTTGCTAGCACAAGTAAGGAAGGATATTAATAAACAATATATCCTCTCCTGCCTCCCTGAACATTCCCACAATGCACACAGCCCAAGTCTGAACATCTCAGCTTTCAGCCAACACACTGGGATTATCCCCATATGGGATAGATCCACATGTATTTAGTTATTTGTAACTAAGTCTGCCTTCAGGGATCCAACTGTGAACTGAATGTGTGAGTAAACTTGTTTTATATACTTTACACAAGACTGCCGTGTGTTTATTCTTTTAAGAGGGATAAAAGGGAACTTACCAGGAATATACAATTCAATAGTGAATTGTATATAATAGTGAGAGGCTCACACGAGCCTGCAACCAGCTATCTGCTGTGCATTTAAAAGGGGAATGTGAAACTCTGCTAAGTTAAGGAACTTGCCAGCGCAAGTAAGGAAGGATATTAATAAACAATCTATCCTCTCCTGCCTCCCTGAACATTCCCACAGCTTGCACCCCTTTGCCAGCCTGGCCCGGGGGCAGGAGGCGCCCCCCCACCTGATGGGTTTGCCCCTTTGTCACCCCTCCCCCCCCATGACTCACCCACACAGTCCCCGGTGGCTGTGGCCTGGTAGCCCGTCTGGCAGCTGGCGACGCAGTGGTAGGACCCCGGGGTGTTTTCGCAGCGCTTCTCCCCACAGAGGCTCACGCCATACTCCTGGCATTCGTTGATGTCTGAAGGAAGGCCCCATAAGTTCATGTTGTGGGGCAGGGGAGGAAAGAGAGGAAGGACCACGAAACGTGACGTCAAACATAAGAGCGGCCACAGAGCTCGCTGCATCAGGACGGCAGAGCAGAGCGTCCAGCGTCCTGATCTCAAGGGGTCATACGACTTGAGAGCAATGGGGACTCTCCCCTCTTGCGGTTTGCAGCAACCGGGACTCAGAAAAAATGGGGGGCAGAGCCATTGCAGCTGAGAGCCACCCATAGCCGCCTCTCCTCCTCCATGGATTGGACTAATCCTTTCTAAAAGCCACCCAGGGCGGTGGGAGGGAGTTCCACAGTTCAACTTGGCGAAGAAGGACTTTCTTTCCCCTGCCCTGAACCTTCCAGCATTCAGCTTCATCGGAGTCAAGAGCCTCTCAAGTCTGGAGGGATCTCTTCAGGAAAGAGCTTTTGCTCCAATTATTATTATTATTATTATTATTATTATTATTATTATTATTATTATTATTATTATTATTATTATTATTCCCTATACCCGGAGGTCTCAGGATGGTTCACTAATTATTATTATTACTATTATTATTATTATTATTATTATTATTATTATTATTATTATTATTATTTTATTAGAATCATAGAATCCTAGAGTTGGAAGAGACCACAAGGGCCATCGAGTCCAACCCCCTGCCAAGCAGGAAACACCATTATTATTATACCGCCCTATACCCAGAGATCTCAGGGCGGTTTAATAATAATAATAATGATAATAATAATAATAATAATAATTTTTATTTATACCTTGCCCTCCCAGGCCAGAGCAGGGCTCAGGGTGGCTAACACCAGTAAAATTACAATAAAAACATAATAGGGGAAAAAACACCAACTTAAAATAAAGGTTAAAATGCAATTTAAAATGCAGCCTCATTTTAAAAGTAGCCCATAGATCAAGACCATAAGGGGAGGGAAACATAAGGGTCAGACTGAGTCCAAACCAAAGGCCAGGCAGAACAGCTCTGTCTTGCAGGCCCTGCGGAAAGACGTCAAGTCCCACAGGGCCCTGGTCTCTTGTGACAGAGCGTTCCACTGAGTTGGGGCCAGTACTGAAAAGGCCCTGGCCCTGGTTGAGACCAACCTAACCACCTTGTGACCTGGGACCTCCAAAGTGTTGTCATTTGTGGACCTTAAGGTCCTCCGCGGGGCAGACCAGAGGAGGCGGTCCTGTAGGGACATGGGTCCTAGATCACAATATATAAAATCAAAATAAAAACAGTGACCCAAAAATACCGCCCCCCAGGCAATAAAGCCTCAGAAATCACAGAATCATAGTTGGAGGGGACCCCAAAGGTTCTGTAGTCCACCCCCCGGCAAGGCAAGAATCTCAGCTCAAGCATCCCAGACAGATGTTCCCCCAGTGAAGCCCCAGAGCAAAAGAGAGGCTTCCAGACCCCCCCCGACCCCCCACTTGGGCCCTGCAGCAACACTCACCAATGCAGTCTCCCGTGGTGCCAGCCTGGTAGCCAGCCTGGCAATCTGCCACGCAGCGGTAGGAGCCGGGCGTGTTCTCACAGCGCTGCGTCCCACAGAGGGCCGCCCCATACTCCTGGCACTCGTCGATATCTAGGGGAGCGGGAGGTCAGGCCCAGACCAGGGTTTCCTTGGCCCTCCCCCCTGTCTACCTCTTTCCGCCCCCCCCGGTGCCCCTCACCTTCGCAGGAGGCCTTGTTGGCGCTGCTGCGGGTGCCCGGCGGGCAGTAGCAGTCGAAAGAGCCCTCGGTGTTGGCGCAGTGGCCCCCGGCACACGCCGTGCCCGGTTGGCATTCATCAATATCTGTGGGGAGGGATGGAAGGGTGGGTCAGTGTGGCAGGGAGATGCCCGCCCCCCCTGCCCAGCCCCCAAGGAAGAGATCCAAGACGTGAAATTAGCTAAAATTCATAAAATAAGTAATAAATGTTGGAAATATAAAGGAAAAGGAAGGAACATGTTATCACATGTGGTGGGAATGTAAAAAAGTGAAAAACTTCTGGGAAATGATATATAACGAGATGAAAAAGATGTCAAAATATACATTTATTAAGAAACCAGAAGCATTTTTACTTGGCACTGTAGGAGATGATATAAATAGACAGGACTGTAAGTTGTTTTTATACGCCATGACGGCAGCAAGAATATTATTGGCACAAAAGTGGAAACAGGAAGAATTACCGACGAAAGAAGGATGGAGGATGAAATCGATGGACTATGCAGAATTAGATAAATTAACAGGAAGGATTTGAAACCTGCGGGACCAGAGATTCTCAGAACTATTTGAAAAGTAATTGTAATGAACAGATTACGCTAGTAGAATTGCAAGAAGTTTTGTTAAGGAGGATTATTTGAATATTGCAAAAAAGACTATCAGGAAAATGACTAGTTAAGGATAATTAAGAGTAATAGAAAAATTAGGAAATGCAGAATAAGTGATGAAAACGGAAAATCACCAGAGGAGCTGACGGAAGTAAAAAATATTGTATAAGATAAGAAATTACGTTATATGAATGTTGGAAATGATATGTTAAAAAAACTAATAAATACAGGTGAAACTCAGAAAATTAGAATATCGTGGAAAATTTCATTTATTTCAGTAATTCAACTTAAAAGGTGAAACTAATATATGAGATAGACTCATGACATGCAAAGCGAGATATGTCAAGCCTTTATTTGTTATCATTGTGATGATCATGGCGTACAGCTGATGAAAACCCCAAATTAACAATCGCAGAAAATTAGAATATTAAATGAATTCAGCAAAACAGGCTGCCATTGAAGCATCCTGGTCTTCCATAACACCTCAGCAGTGCCACAGGCTGACAGCATCCATGCCACGCCGCACTGAGGCAGTAATTGATGCAAAAGGGGCCCAAACCAAGTGCATGCTTCTACTTACTTCTCAGAGGTCCAGTATTGCTCTATTTGCAATCTTTGTTTTGCTGATTTCATTTAATTTGGGCTTTTCCACAATATTCTAATTTTCCGAGTTTCACGTGTGTGTGTGTGTGTGTATGTGTATGGAAGAGATCCAAGATGGCCACCTCCCTCCGTCTGCCAGGCCACATCTGTGCCAGCCTGCATCCCTCGCCAGGCGGCCCTCGGGTGTCCCTCGGGGTCCGGGGCCCCTTACCGATGCAGGAGGCCCCGCTGGGGGCGATGGTGAAGCCCTGGGCACACAGGCAAGTGTAGGATCCCTCGGTGTTGAGGCACTCGCCCCGCGGGAAGCAGAAGTCGCCCTCCAGGCACTCGTTGACGTCTGGGGGGCAGAGAAAGAGGTGGGGGGCATTGGGGGTGCTCAGGCGGAGGGGGCTGGGGGGCCACCTTCAAACACCAGAAGGGCTGCCCCACGGAAGTTTCTTTTTGCAAAGGACCCCTAAGGGTCATCCAGCCCAACCCCGTGCCCTGGCAGAGCGCACTGAAGAATCAGCGGAGGTGGGCAGGGTCTGCCCCCAAGGGTGCCCAATGCCAAATCCCCCACCCCCACCCCAATCACCCGCCCCCTGCCCCCCTCACCCACGCAGGACGTCCCCGTGCCCTCTGCGCGGTACCCTCGTCCACACTGGCAGCGGAAGGAGCCCTCTGTGTTGATGCAGCGCCCTTGAGGCCCACAGGGCGTTCCCGTGGCGCACTCGTCCATGTCTGGAAAGGGGCAGACAGGGAGAGTCAGGGGCCCCGTGGGGCTGAGCCCAACCCCAAAGCCGCCCCCCAAGCAAGGCGCCTCCACTCTCCGCCTCTCACCCAGGCACTGGTTTTCCGTCAGGCTGGCGCGGAATCCCGCAGGGCAGAGGCAGCGGTACCCGCCGGGCACGTTCTCACAGCGCCCAGACCCACAAGGCGGGGGGCTCTGCTGGCATTCATCCACATCTGTTTGGGGGGGAGGAGAGAGAAGAGACACACACCAGAATTTCACCATGACCAATTTTTTTCCTTTATATCTCACTTACCCACCCAGGTGCTCAAGGTGAGATCTCCCAGTCCCTTCCTTATTCTCCCAACCCCCCTGCGAGGTGGGCCAGGCTGAGTGGCAGCAACTGGCCTGAGACCCCCCCCCCAGCGGGCTTTGTGGCCGAGTGGGAGGATTCGAACCCCGGTCTCCCAGGTCCCGAGCCAACGCTCAAACCGCTGCCTGCGCCGCACCAAACACCTCCAGATTTGTGTTTTGAAATCGAGAGCTCTGCGCATGGTCAGGGGTGCTCTCGTCTTCCCGTCCCCCTGCCCAGCCCTGGAAGCCGTCTCCTGGGAAGTGGGGGGGACGTGAACCCCAAGGCAGCAGCAGTGTCTCCGCACTCTCCTTGGCCCTCTTACCTACACACTGGGTACCCAGCGGGTGGGGCTGGTAGCCGATGGGGCAGCTGCAGCGGTAGCCCCCAGGGACATTTTCGCAGCGGCCGGGTTGGCAGATGGTGGGGGTCTCCCGGCACTCGTCCACGTCTGCAAAAGAACAGCGATGGAGGTCTGGGGGCTTCTCTGCCCCCAACGCTCCCTCCCTCCCAAGGGATTGGGGCCAGGGTGGCCTGGAAGCCCCCCACTGGGCATGTGGAGAGGGGGCAGGCTGGCTGGGACCAGGGTGGATAAAAATCAATGATTTTTTAAAAAAATAAAAATGGGGTTTTTTAAATTTAAATCGGATTTTTTTTTATTTAAATCAGATTTTTTTCATTTAAATCAGATTTTCTAAAAATTAAATCAGATTTTTTAAAATAAACTCCTTTTGGAGGGAAAATCTTTCTAAAAATAGTTTTCTATTTAAGTGACATTATAGTCCAAAGGCTATTCATCGGGAAATAAGGGTTTGTTTTAAGTTTTTCATGTGTGCTAAAACTCAGTCTTAATTTGTTGTTTTTTAAAAAACTGCTTAACCACATCGGTTAACAAACAGGGATACATATGCTATAATGTTATTGTTTTAGTTAAATAAATGGTTGAAATGGTTATTAAGGAAATGATTATTTATCTCCTTCCAATCAAGTACAGCAGAAAAGTTGTCCAGATATAAACAGTTAACTTATGAAACCTCACCAGAATTTCATAATTACCTGTTAAGGTATTTCTAATAGTTTAACCAAATCAATAATTGTTGATATAACTGTAAAAACTACTCTGAAAATTTATGATTCCAAAAAGGAAACCTTCACCTGGTTGTAAATATTAAGATGATACCAGCAAGAACGAGTCTTTCTGTATTAAAAAATAAAATAAAATAAATCAAGCCTTACTGACTAGTGATTTAAATTGTGATTTAAATCAAACCCACCCTGTCTGGGACCCCCGGTTTTCTCTGCCACTGGGTCCCAGGAGGAGGCAGGTTGGGGGAACGTTCTGCAAAAGGGCTCTGTGTCGAGAGCAGTTGCTTGGCATGTAGAAGGCGCCTGGGCTCCCTTCCTGGTGGCAGCATCTACAGGGAGGGCTGGGAGGGCGGCTGCTGCTGCTGCCAGCCTGTGTAAGCAGTACTGAGGCAGGTGGGCCCAATGGTCTGAGCCAGGGCAAGGCAGCTTCCCCCGGGAGGTGGTCTTCGGGGGCCGAGGGCGTGGACCCCAACCTGGCTGCCGTGAGAAGGGGGGCAAGGGGGCGCCCTCTCTCACCCAGGCATTCGGTGCCCGTGGGGCCGGGCTGGAAGCCGGAGGGGCAGCTGCACTGGTAGGAGCCGGGCGTGTTCTGGCAGCGGCCGCGGGCGCAGGGCGGGGGGCTCTGGGAGCATTCGTCCACGTCTGGGGGGAGAGAGAAAGGGGTCACATTCAACTTTCGGCTTGGGAAAGCCTGCGGGAAACTGATTTGAATTTTTCTTTCTTTTTTCTTTTTAACTTCAATGCAAAACAATTGACATAGAACAACACAGAAAGACAAAGACCTTGAGGACAACTAAACATTAACTAACGACACATCGCCTAACATAGGTTTACCAGACGTCCCCGTTTCCTGGGGACGATCCCCGGATTTGCGAATAAGTCCCTGGACAAATTCCATCCCCGGGATGTCCCTGGATTTCATCTAGTGTCCCCGGGAAACGCAGCAGCGGCAGTCTCAGCAGCCAGGAGCAGCTGGCTCTGGCTGGCTTCAGGAGATGCTCAGAAGTCCCCATATGAGGGTGGTGCAGGGGCTCTAAGGTGCAGCGTCCGGGCTGCCTCCACCTTCCCTGACCCCAGCAACCAAGCTGTGAACGGAGGCTTCACGATGCCTATCAGAGCTTGTGTGCAAGCAGGAGGGGGCAGGGATCTGTAAGAGCTGTTAGTAAGATAGTAAGAGCTGTTCGACACTGGAATTGGCTGCCAAGGAGTGTGGTGGAGTCTCCTTCTTTGGAGGTCTTTAAGCAGAGGCTTGACAACCAGATGTCAGGAGTGCTCTGATGGTGTTTCCTGCTTGGCAGGGGGTTGGACTCGATGGCCCTTGGGGTCTATTCCAACTCTAGGATTCTATGATCTCTCAGTTAGGCAATGGGAAGCCTCCCTTCCCAGCTGAGGGATCCCCACCCCCTCCTGCTGGCACACAAGTAGGAAAGGGATTGAGGCTGCTCCGATGGGAAGGGAGGCATCGCGCTGCCTGAGAGATCCCTGCCCCCTCCTGCTTGCACGCAAGTAGGAGTTGGGATGGGGCTGCTCCGAAAGGCAGTGTGAAGCCTCGCTTCCAAGCTGAAGGATACCTACGCCCTCCTGCTTGCACGCAAGTAGGAATGGGATTGGGGCTGCTCCGATGGGAAGGGAGGCATCGCGCTGCCCAAGCCTCTCTGCTGCCGCTGCTCTCGGCCCTCCTTCTCCACCTTCCATGCCTGACCCACCGCGCACCGCTTCCCCACCACCACCACTGAAGAACCAACAACTCAGGGGCTGCCCAGGCTCAGGGAGAAGGGAGACAGAAGCCTCGCAGGAAGGGGAAAGAGGGTGATTGAGTTCAAGGTGGCGGCTGTCCTTCTGCCACCTCCATCGCTGCTGCATCAACATCCCAAACGTGTAGTAATTAATTAAATAAAGTTAAATTAATTAAACCCGGATTCATTGAAAACGATCTGGTAACCTTAGCCTAACATCACACACACTTTCAACTTCCGAGTCACCTCATTGTGCTTTCTACATATTCTTAACCTTTATGCATTTCCTATTAAATCTGTTACACATCCAGAAATTTTCCTACATTGATAGTTTTCCATAATAGTCAAGATTCAATATCGACCTGTCAGGAGATTTACAGTTTCACAAAATTGTTTTAGGTATACTTTGTGGGGATTACAGCACCTTCCTAATTTTTTTGCTATTAAAATCCTCACCCCTGTGGTTGCGTACATGAAAAGGGTTCTGTGGGGTTTTTTGGTATATCAATGCGCTAACAAAAATACTTCAGGGTTTTTTTTGAAACGGGAATTTAAAGATCTTTTGGAGTTCATTGTATGTTATGTCCCCAAATTCCCTTATCCTCGCACAGCCCCACCACAAAAAGCATTAATACTGGAGACCCAGAAGGGTAAGAAAACAGGGGAATAATAATAATAATAAAAATTTTTATTTATATCCTGCCCACCCCAGCTGAAGCCAGGCTCAGAGCGGCAAACAACAGTAAAATGATACAACATTCTAAAATCAATTCATTATAAAATCAGTTCAAATCAAAATGATGGCAACCATTGGGCTAGAGTTCTGTGAGGATCACCAAAGGAGGGAGTCAGGCTGTGCCCTGGCCAAAGGCCTGGTGGAAAAGCTCCATCTTGCAGGCCCTGCAGAAAGATGTCAAGTCCCGCAGAGCCCAAGGCTCTTGTGACAGAGCGTTCCACCAGATCGGAGCCACAGCCGAAAAAGCCCTGGCTCTGGCTGAGGCCAGACTAACCTCTCTGAGGCCTGGGACCTTCAGGATGTTTTTATTTGAAGACCGTAAGGTCCTCCGTGGGACATATCAGGAGAGGCAGTCCCGTAGGTACGAGGGTCCTAGGCCGTATAGGGCTTTAAAGGTTAAGACCAGCACCTTAAACCTGATCCTGTACTCCACCGGGAGCCAGTGCAGCTGGTATAATACCGGATGAATGTGATCTCGCAGCGAAGACCCCATAAGGAGTCTCGCTGCAGCATTCTGCACCCGCTGGAGTTTCTGGCTCAGTCTCAAGGGCAGCCCCACGTAGAGCGAGTTACAATAATCCAGTCTGGAGGTGACCGTCGCGTGGATCACAGTGGCTAGGTCAGGGCGAGAGAGATAAGGAGCCAACTGCTTAGCTTGGCGGAGATGGAAAAATGCCGCCTTTGTTATAGCTGTAATCTGCGCCTCCATAGAGAGGGAGGTATCGAAGATTACACCCAAACTCTTAACGGACGGTGTTGGCACTAATTGCACCCCCGCAAGAGATGGGAGTTGCCCCCCCAATCCCATATCGCCCCGTCCCAGCCAGAGGACCTCTGTCTTCGAAGGATTTAACTTCAACTGGCTCCCACGAAACCATCCAGCCACAGCTTCCAGACATCTGGTCAGTGTGTCTGGGAGCCGAGTCAGGATGGCCATCCATCAACAGATAGTTGGGTGTCATCAGCATACTGATGGCAACCCAGCCCAAAACTCCGGACAAGCTGGGCGAGGGGGCGCATAAAGATGTTGAAAAGCATCGGGGAGAGTATCAGGACCCCCAAAAGCTGCCCCCTCCACCTGTCCCCCCACCCTCCCTTGCTCAGGCCTCAGTTCCCCCTCCAGCCTCTCCCTTCCTCCCCCCCTCCCAGTTACCTCTGCATTCGAAGCCGGTGGGGCTGGGAACGTAGCCGGGGGGGCAGGAGCAGCGGAAGGAGCCAGGGGTGTTTTGGCAGCGCCCGTTGGCACACGGCGGGGGGGTCTTGGCACATTCGTCAATGTCTGGGGAGGAGGAGGAGGAAGAGAGTGTTGCTTTGAGTCTGAGGGGGGGAAGCAGTCCATCCCAGCCCCCTCCCCCCTTTGCCCCACACCCACCCTGGCACTCGGAGCCGGAGGGGTCCGCCTGGTAGCCGGCCCGGCACCTGCAGCTGAAGCTGCCCACCGAGTTCTCGCAGCGCCCGTTGGCACAGGGGCGGGGGCTCCTCCGGCACTCGTCCACATCTGGGGGGGGGGGAGGAGAGAAAAGGGGGGTCAGAGGAAGGAAAGAAGTTGTGCCACGGAGACACACGGCCCAAACCCCACCCCACATTGCCGCTGCCCCCAATGCCAGATTTACATGTAAGCTAAACAAGCTCTAGCTCAGGGCTCCACTCTCTTGGGGCCCCCAAAAAAATTAAAGGAAAAAAAACCTGGATGTACATTTCCAAAATATAAGATAAAAAAACAAATAAAATAAAACCTACATCCAGCAACAGTGTTTTGTGCTGTGTAGGCTCCTAGGATGTAAGTCATGGACCCCCAATCATTTTAAGTTAGAACTTAATAAATTATTTCACTAATAATATACTTCTTAATTGTATTTCACCATTAATGTACTTCTTCTTAATTGTATTTCAGTTCAACAATTACTTTGATAAAATACACATTTTGTGATGTGCAAATGACTTGAGATACTTATGAGGTCCATAAACTACCATCTAGCATATATTCAACACAAAAACCAGTGACCATTTGTTGTGGCCAAAGGACAGCTGGACATAGAAAGGGCCCCATGACCTTCAGGAGCTGAGGGCCTCATCAAACCTCAATCCGGCCCTGGCTCCCCCCCTTAGCTGAAACCACCTGAGAAAGCTGAGCTCTGCGAAACACTCCAGGAGAGGCTACCTCTGAGCATGTACAGCCTGCTTTCCTAAGCTGAGCTTATGGGCCACAGGTTTCCCCAAGTGCCACAACAGTGAGCTCCACCTCCGCTGGGGGAGGCAGAAAACGCCTCTGAGTGGCAGTGGCGACGGGGCACAGTTCCTTGGGGCACCTGGTTGGGGGAGGCGGGCACCTCTGGCTCTTCTGAGGCTGCCTTCTGATGCCATGCGCACCCTCAAAGCTTTCTAAGAACACAAGAGGATCCTGCAGGATGAGGCCCATGGCCTGCCAGCCTCCTGATCTCACAGCGGCCAACCAGATGCCTGTTCTGGGAATCCTGCAGGATTTGAACTCAGGAGCCCCTCTCCCCTGCTCTGGCTTCCGGCAACTGGGATTCAGAGGTATTTCTGCCTGCAACTGTGGAGGAGCCATCGGTAGCCCTCTCCTCCTTCGTGAATTTCAAAGCCATCCAGGTTGGTGGTCCTGTGGAAGGGAGTTCCACAGATGAACAATATACTGCGTGAAGAAGTCCTTCCTTTTATCCATCCTGAATCTCCCTATGCTCAGCTTCGGAGGCTGAACTCTGGGCAAGCGCCTCTGCGTCCCCCAAGGGTTGCCTTCTCCCTGCGCCCCCTCAGAGCCTCCTGCTTCTCTTGCCACCCCCCCCCCCGCGCCCCTCACCAATGCAGTGGGTGCCCTGAGGACTCAGCCAGAAGCCGCGGTCGCACACACAGGTGTAGCCACCCTGCCGGGGGATGCAGCGCCCGGGACCACACACTTGGGGGCGCCGTTCGCACACGCCCTGCCCAGCGTCTGGTGGGGAGAAATAAGAACAATAGCAATAAGAAGAAGTAGAAGATGAAGAAGAAGAAGTGTACCTTCCCATCTGACTGGGTTGCCAAAGCCACTCTGGGCAGCTTCCAGAAATTAAAAAATATTATTATTAAATATCATTACAGTGGTACCTCGGGTTACATAGGCTTCAGGTTACAGACTCTGCTAACCCAGAAATAGTGCTTCAAGTTAAGAACTTTGCTTCAGGTTGAGAACAGAAATCGTGCTCCGGTGGCGCGGCAGCAATGGGAGGCCCCATTAGCTAAAGTGGTGCTTCAGGTTAAGAACAGTTTCAGGTTAAGTACGGACCTCCGGAACGAATTAAGTTCTTAACCCGAGGTAAAAGGTAAAGGTACCCCTGCCCGTACGGGCCAGTCGTGTCCGACTCTGGGGTTGCGTGCCCATCTCACTCAAGAGGCCGGGGGCCAGCGCTGTCCGGAGACACTTCTGGGTCACGTGGCCAGTGTGACGAAGCTGTTCTGGCGAGCCAGAGCCGCACACGGAAACGCCGTTTACCTTCCCGCTGGAGCGGTACCTATTTATCTACTTGCACTTAAGGGTGCTTTCAAACTGCTAGGTGGGCAGGAGCTGGGACCGAACGATGGACGCTCACCCCGCTGCGGGGATTCGAACCGCCGACCATGTGATCGGCAAGCCCTAGACGCCGAGGTTTTACCCACAGCGCCACCCGCGAGGTACCACTGTATTAAATAATATTTAAAAAATTATACACGCACATATTTATACACACACATATAATTTATTAAATGATAATATTTAATAATAATATTTAATATTTTTTCTTTATTACCACCCAATAAAAACCACATTAAAACTGTCCAAATATTCAGTGCCATATTATATATCTTTTGGGCGACTTCCCATGCTCTGAAGTTCAGGGAGGGATGATCTAATATCATACTGCATTTCTTCATTAGTCCAGCTTACAGATAATATATAAAAACAATCTCGGAAAGGTAAAATAACTGTGAGACCGGAATAAGGACTAATCTATACTGGTGAGTTATAATGTTTAAATGTGTTGTAAAAATGTGTCACCAGGGGGCGTTGCACAGCAGTCAATGGGAAATTGCATTGAGAGCTAAATCACGTCCTTAAAAACCACTGTAAACAGTTAAAATTGTTAGTAGGAGCCTCACACTCGACCGACTGAGCTATCCCAGAGTCTATGAAACCACTGAGTTCTGGTTCCACATTGAGGCACAATGCCCCCTCCCCCCTGACTTGCCCGCTTTCCTACCTGGCACAGGTGGGTCAGGAGACTGGGTTGGCACACGCCGGGGAGGCTGGCGCTCTGGCAAGGAGGTGGGCGGGGGGCTCCATCGCACTGCAAGGCGGGGAGAGAGCTGGCGTGAGGAGGGGAGGGGGCAAGGACCCCCCCCAATGCCCAGCCCTGCAAGATGAGAAATGGCACCAGCCCATCTCATCCAAACTGGCACAGACTCTGCCAGCCTTAGAAAGAAAGAACTGTACAATTGGAAGGGACCCTTGCGGGAGTCGCAGCCGGGGGCTGATGCTGTGCCAGGCAGCGCAGGTAGAAGTGCCCCCCCTCTGCCCCCCCCAGTTCCACAAACTGGCCCGCCTTGCAGGGATGGCCTGCCAAGGCTCCCCTTTCCCCCAACATCCAGATCACAGAACATACGGACGGATGGCGCTGTGGTTGTTGCCAGGGGGGGTCTGGCGGCTGGATCCCGACCCCCTTGCTGGCGGCCGATGGGCACCCGGGGCAGGTCCTGGCCGAGGAAGCGGGTGTCGTAGCGCAGGTCAGAGGCCGAGTAGTGGTAGCCAGGCCCCGCTGGGCAGATCTCCTTGAACCCGTCTGCCAAAGAGAAGGAGATCAGTGTGAAGAGAGGGGTTTATTTTTTTGGGGGGGAACTTCAGCACCCCCCACTTCATTGCCCTCACAGCCTTGCCCCACTTAATCCCAGGCTGGGGCTGGTTGCCCTGGGCAAAAGGTCCTCTGCACTCATGAGCAGAGAGAAAGCTTATAGAATGATGGAATTGGAATGGGACCCCCCAAAGGTCATCTAGCCCAACCCGCCATCACACAGCATTCTTTTGCTGTTCCAGCCCTGGCAAAGCTGGCTCCCCTTCCAGCCTTTGGTCCCGCCGTCCGGATGTCTCCCCATCGCTCCCCTCCCTGGGCGCCCTCCTCACCTGAGCCAAAGGGCGGGCATCGCTCGCAGGCCTGGCCCCAGGCCTTGCCCACGCGGCTGCAGCAGCAGATCTGCTTGGTGATGTTGCGCAGGATGGGCAGGGAGCAGCCGCCCTCCCTCAGGACGCGGAAGCAGGGGCCCTTGGCCTCCGAGATCACGTGGTGGGCTGCGGGGGGAGAGGGGGGGGCGTCAAAATCTGCACATATGTGGTGGATGTGCAGTATAGTTAAAGCCTGCTGGGATATGATATACAACAAGGGTCCGCAAACGTTTTCAGCAGGGGGCCGATCCACTGTCCCTCAGACCTTGTGGGGGGCTGGACTATATTTTGGGGGGGAAATATGAACAAATTCCTATGCCCCAAAAATAACCCAGAGATGCATTGCACCATATTTTTTGCTCCATAAGACGCACCTGACCATAAGACGCACCTAGTTTTTAAAGGAGGACAACAAGAAAAAAAATATATTCTGAACAAAACAGTGGATGTATTTGTGGTTCATGCTGTGGCCACAGACATGTGAATTGACAGTGAGTTTGGGGTAGCCCAATGCAAAAATCCTGAGGATCCATGTGGATCCATGCTTTGTCACCATGTTTTTGCTCCATTGCGGCCCCAGGAAACAGTGGGTGCGTGGGTTTTTTGGTGCAGGCTGTAGCCATGGACATGTTATGTGATCTGATGGTGAATTTGGGGTGACCCAATGCAAAAATCCTGAGGACCCATGGGCTTTTATCTCCCCCCTCCCAGGCAGCCTCCTTTATCGCTAGGGTCCCTTATCTCTCTCCCGATCCCACCAATCAGCTGCTTCCTTTCCCTCTTGTTTGCCTTAGTGTCTTTTCCTTAGCTGGAGCAGTTTTTTGCTCCTCCTTTTCTCCTAATTTCTCTCCTCATTTGCTTTAGTCTTCCTGTCTCCTCTCCTTGCAAGTTTGCTGTCTTTACCTCCCCTCTCCCAGGCAGCCTCCTTTATCTCTAGCGTCCCTTATCTCCCTCCCGATCTGCAAAAGATCAGCGGCTTCGTTTCAACACCCACTTCCCTCTTTCAAAAAAAAAGAGCATGATCTGCTTTTTGCCCCTGGGCAATTCGGCTCCAGGGACCATACATTCGCTCCATAAGACGCACAGACATCTCCCCTTACTTTTTAGGAGGAAAAAGGTGTGTCTTATGGAGCGAAAAATACAGTAAATAAAAGGACACATTCTACTCATGTAAAAACCATGCTGATTCCCAGACCGTTCCCGGGCTGGATTTAGAAGGTGATTGGGCCGGATCCAGCCCCTGGGCCTTAGTTTGCCTACCCATGATATACAATGAATTGAAAAAAGATCTTTAAATATACCCTTATTTAAAAAAAACCCAGAGGCTTTTCTATTGGGTATTGTGGGAGACGAAATTCCAAAAGTAGACTTAAATATGTTTATGTATGCCACCACGGCTGCAAGGACACTTTTAGCCCCGAAATGGAAGCAGCAGGAACTTCCAACTTTGGAAGAACGGCAGATAAAAATGATTGAATGTGCAAAACTGGCAAAGCTGACAGGGAAAATACGAAACCAGCAAACTGTTTGAAAAGGACTGGCGTAAATTTCTACAACATACTGTATGAAAGAACATTTTAATTTGAGAACGTTTGCCGTTTTGATTTAAAATATTTTGTAATGATGATTTCTGAAACTGATTTACAGATACTGAAGTAAAATTTCTTAAGAATAGTAAGAAGGTAAATAGGGTGATATAGCAATGCTAAGAGGATTGTGATTGCTTAAGAAAGCCGGGGGGGGGGAGGGGGGAAGTCGATGCTCGATATGAGCAAAGTTGTATATGATGATATGATTTGATATGAATGTGACAAAGGAAAAAGATGAAAACTTGAATGTATGTGTGTGTGTGTGTGTACACACACACCTCCATAAGACGCACCTGACCATAAGACGCACCTAGTTTTTAGAGGAGGAAAACAAGAAGAAGAAAAAATTCCGAACGAAAGAGTGGATGTATGATTTTTGTGGTTCATGCTGTGGCCACGGACATGATATGTGATCTGATGGTGAATTTGGGGTGACCCAATGCAAAAGTCCTGAGGAACCATGTAGGTCCGTGCGTTGTAACCACGTTTTTGCGCCATTGCGGCCCCATGAAACATTGGTGGTGAGGCTTTTTTGGTGCAGGCCAGAGCCATGGACATCTGTGATCTGATGGTGAATTTGGGGTGACCCAATGCAAAAGTCTTGAGCATCCATGGGCTTTTACCTCCCCAATCCCAGGCAGCCTCCTTTATCTCTAGCGTCCCTTATCTCTCTCCCTGATTGGCAAACGATCAGCAGCTTTGTTTCAACACCCCCTTCCCTCTTTCTAAAAATAAAAAAGGACAATCTGCTTTTCTCCCCTGGGCAATTCGGCTCCAGGGACCACGCATTCACTCCATAAGATGCACAGACATTTCCCCTTTTTAGGAGAAAAAAAGTGCGTCTTTTTTTCAAAAAATACGGTATGTGTGTGTGTGTGTATCTGCACACCTGTGGTGTAGGTGTGGCACTGTGCCCAGTTCTGGTCTCCTCCGCTCAAAAAGGAGATGGAGATGGCCGTGTCAGAGGAGGTTTTCAGAAAAGGGCAGCCAGAATGAAAAGGGGGCAGCTGGACTCCTCTGCAACAAAAGGCTGCAGCGTTTGGGGCTTCTTAGTTTAGAGGAAAAGCGAATGAGAGGCGAGAGCATAGAAGTCTGTAAAATTATGCCTGGCCTGGAGAAAGTGCAGAGCTTTCCCCGCTCTCTCTCTCAAAACACTAGAACTGCTGGACATCCAACAAAGCTGGACATTGGGAGATGCTGTGGGAATTTGCAGGCAAACATAAGTGCTAGTTGGTGCATGAAGGGGTTAAGACCACAGAGTTAGATTCCTAGATTCAGCTAGGCCACGCCCCCTCTTATCCAATGAGGGAGGAAGTGAAGCCTTCTCTTCCTGTTCTCTCTCTCTGAGCCATGTAACGGACCAAGGAAGCCCTGTCCAAGCAAACTCCAAGCTCAGAGCGTGTGTTTGGAGCTACCTTTCTGTATTTCCTACCCAAGAGTTTTCTGCCTGTGTTTTCCTTGCTGCTGCTTGGATAAATGCATGAATCTGACCTTTGGAACACTTTGTAAGTAAAGCATTTTAAACTTGGCCGGACTAGGTGGGCCATTGGCCAGATCCAGCAGGCTCTGCTCATGCAATCAGGAACAGAAGGCAGGTTTGGAGGCCTGCCACCCCCCCTTCACCCCCCAGCTCCCCACGCCGGTGCCAGGGGTGCCCAACTTACAGATGCAGCTGCTTCGAGACGAGTCGAGGATGTACCCCTCGTGGCAGACGCAGGCAAAGCTGCCGCGGGTGTTGGTGCAGTCGCCGTTGTGGCAGAAGCTGCCCTCTGTGCATTCGTCCACATCTGGCCATGGGGGGGGGAGAGAAAGAGGGTGTTAGAAAAGGCCGGTGGGGGGGGGGAGATCCAGGTCTGTCCTGGTAGGATGAGTGGGCAGCAAAGGCCCCTCCTGGGAAGAAGCCAGGGGGTAGACTTTGTGGGGGCTCTGCCTTCGCCCCTAGAAGGATCCGGGGGTGGAAAAGCCCCCCCCCAAACCAAGGGGTCCTCGTCCAGCCCAGCCCCACTCACCAATGCAGGATCCGTTCTGCCGGCGGAAGCCTTTGGGGCAGGCCACTTCGTTCCTCCCCACAGGGCTGGCGTCCCCTTTGAGGAGAGAGCAGGCGGTTGGAGGAGCCCTTTGCTATATCCATGCCCCCCTACCAAGACACCCCCCCACTGACACTTCCAGGGCTCCACCAAAAGCCACATTAAGTGGGTGCCCCATGTCCCAAAAGGGCAGGAGTTTGGGGCACCCCTCCCCAACTGGCCCAGGAGGGTGCGAGCCATGTCCTCCTTCCCAGCCCCCCCCAGCCACTACCCCTTCTTTGGAGAGGGTGGGGGCCAAGTCGGCAACCTTACCCACGTCGCCGTTGGCGCAAGGCAGGCACTCGTGGACCCCCCAGGCCAGGCCGGCCCCCCGGCAGCAGATCTCTCGAGTGCGCAAGCCGGGCAGGGGGGCACTGCACTGAAAGAGGAGGGAGAGAGTCAGTTGGGGGGGTCCTAACCCAGGAAAAAAACCCCAGCATCGCCCAGACGTTGGCTGTTCCAGAGAAGCCCTAAAAGCCCAGCTTTTGATCCGCTCCTGTAGGATAAGGCAGGGTTTGGCCCACGGTAATCCCTCCATAGGGCAGCCCCCCCCCCAGAGCGGAGGGGCTCCCTCCCTCGCAAAGCCACGGCGACCCCCAGGCGTACACAGTGCCCTCTGCTCACATGCATAGGAGCCCGTGTGGCGTCATGGTGAGAATGTCAGACTAGGAGAGAACTGGGTTCAAATCCCCCCACTGGTTGGGTGACCTTGGGGTCAGTTTCCCTCTCAGCCTAGCCTAGCTCACAGGGCTGTTGTGGGGAATACATGCGGAGGGAGGACCATGAATTTGAGCTCCTTGATGAGGAAAAGGGCAGGCTGTGATAATGCAATAAAATAAGACAGACCCCCATCCTTTTTCCTTCCTTGTTCAAGCCTTAAAGGGGGGGGTTACCAAGTGCACCCCTGCCTTGACAGAAGACAAGAGGGGTCCCGTCTTCCTCTCCAGGACGGAACAAAAGAAAATCCTTATTAACGGCACCACAGAGTTAAACTGTGTTCCTGGAATCGGCATAGAGAAGACGACTACGATCTCTGTCTCTCTCTCCTTCTGTCTCTCTGTCTCGCTCTCGTCTTCCTTTCTTCTTTCGTTCTTCTCTCTGTGCCCCTCAGAGCCCCCCCCCTCCAGCCAGTCCAGCTGCTGCCATTTCACAATCGCCTCTTTTGGCACAGAGGGCGGCCCCTCCCTCCCAACACAATCATCTGCGAGTCTCTTGGCCTCCGGTCAACCCAAAGTGCTGAAATCCAGCCATTTCGCTAAAGAGAAACCCCTACCAGGGCTTGCCGGGCCCCCCAACCTCGCCCTGCTGGGGCTGAGGCCTCCAGGCCCCCTTGCTTTGCTCCCAGCGGGGAGGAGAGGGGGTGAGACCCCCATCAAAAGGGCCCCATAAACTCCTGTTTCTCCCGGCTTTGGAACGGCACCTGCTGCCTCCAGCCAAAGCAGATGAGTCAACCGGACCCCCTTGCCAAAGAGGCAGTGGGGGGCTCAGCCACTCTCCGCCCCCCCCCCCCGTTCTCCACTTCACATGAATTCACAGCTGTGCTTCCCTTCTGGCAGTGCAGAGCTGGACTGCGGAACTCCCTCCCACAGGAGACAGCCACGGCCACTAACTTGGATGGCTTTGAAAGAGGATTCTAGACCGGGGGTCAGCAACCTTCTTCAGCCGGGGGCCGGTCCACTGTCCCTCAGACCATGTGGGGGGCCGGACTAGATTTTGAAAAAATATGTGAACGAATTCCTATGCCCCACAAATAACCCAGAGATGCATTTTAAATAAAAGGACACATTCTACTCATGTAAAAACACGCTGATTCCTGGACCGTCCACAGGCCGGATTGAGAAGGCGATGGGGCCAGATCCGGCCCATGGGCCTTAGGTTGCGTACCCCTGGTCTAGACAAACCTACGGAGGAGGGGGGGGCGACCCACGGCCAGGACAGCTCTGTTCTTCCCTTCGAATACACCTTCGAATCCCAGCCAGGCTCTTCTTACAGAAGCCGATGTTGACCGCAGAACCTCCATGCCCAGGGACAGTCTACCTCTAAATGCCAGATAACGGGAGAAAGCTCTCGCACTCAGGTCCTGCTCGTGGGGTTCCTGCGTAATTGGGTGCTGAGCAGCCACAACCAAACATTTTTGGGGTGCTCGGACCCCCTATAGTTGATGCCCCTGCGTCTTCCGTTCTTATGGAACCTCCAGGTCCAGAGGCAGTCTATCTGGATCCCTAAGTTCTTGTTTTATGCTTTGTTGGTTTTGAAAACTGTACAACGGAAATGACCAAGAAAAGTTGTTATCAAAATAAAAATTCATTGGTTGATACTTGTTTTGGATATCATTCTGAAATTCAGTTTGACATGACCTGGATTTCTAAGTTCTTAGGGGTATTTGGCCCCTGTGAGAATAGAAAGCTGGACTGGGGGGGGGGCACTGGCTTGATCCTGAAGTCTCCTCTTATGTCTTTAAGTACAGAGAGCTGCTGGCTTTTTTAAGGAACAGTGGGAGACCCCTAGATTGCCCCCATTTACAGAGGGTTCTCTAAGCAGACCCCCTTTTTTTGCCCTAGAGGGCTGAGTTGCAAGTGAGCTGATGGGGGGGGGGGTTGGTCCTCTGCATTCTGCATGAGCCACAGCCGCCCCCGCCCTCCCCTCTCCCCCCATGCCCCCACCCCAAGTAGTACCTCTCCTCCGCGGAGCTGCCGGAAGCAGTATCCGAACCCGGCGCCCTCTCCGTAGCCTCCGCTGGGGGTGTCTCGGGGGCTGCTCTGGGCCAGGACGCTGTAGAGGGCCGGGCGGGAGAGGGGGAGGGCGTTGGCGTCCCCCGCCGGCTCCTCGCTCACGCGCTCCACCTGGTGGATGGTGACGGAGGCCTCGGGAGGGTGCTCCACGTGGACGCTGGCCAGCGAGGCCACACCTGGGGGGGGGGAGAGAGACGCGTCAAGGGGGGGCAGAGAGGGAGGCTGAAGGGGCCATTGAGAAGAGGGGACTGAGAGGGATCCCCAAAGACCTGGAAGGCAGGCAAGACCCAAACTGAGAAATTTGGGGAATCGTAGAATTGTGGAGCTGGAAGGGAGCCCACCCCCCACCAAGTGTTGTGCCCTGTGACTTGCTGTTGTTTTAGTGACCGGAGTTGAGAAATTACTTACTGTAACTGCTAAGAGTGGATTTCTGTTTAATCTTGAAGTGCTGATATTTAATAGTATTCTATATTATTTTAATGAAGGCTGAATGTTATTTTATTTGCACATTGCACATTGCATTATGCATATTGTCTTATTTATATGATGTCAGCCGCTTTGAACCCGGCTTTGGCCGGGGAGGGCGGGATATAAATAAAATTGATTATTAATTTATTATTATTATTATTATTCTCCCCTCGCCAACTCCCAGCCAGGGAAACAAGGCAGAGCCCCACCTGCTGCTTCTCCCCCTCCCTCCCTCCAGCGCCTCTAAGGTAGACTGCTCCTGCCCATGGAGGCTCCACTGAGCCCACGGCCCTCGAGAGGCCTCTCCCCTGCCAAATTCTTCCTCCTCCTGCTTCATCTGCGCCTCTGAGGCTCCAGCTGCGTCTGGGCAGCTTTGGCTGGGCGGGGAGGAGGAGAGACAAGGCGTCCCATTCCTGCCGATATCTCCTCAAATATTTGCAGGCAGGCAGCCTGTCCCTCTGCCTTCCTCCAAAAGGAAGAATTCCAGGCGTCCCTCCAGCAAACATTTATCTCCTCTGTCGCTGGATGTCTGCTCCGTCCCTTCCTGGCTGGCAGAGATCCCTTTTTCAGGAGCCGGGCCCAAAAAGGAGCCCCCACCCGAAAGGGATCTCCTGACAGCGCCAAGTGAGGGAGCCTCTTGCCCCCAGTCGCTGGGAACCACAAGTCGGTCTCGTGTTCGAATCCTGATGCTGGTTTCCCTTGGGGAAACCTGGTTGGCCACTGTGAGAAGAGGAGGCTGGACTGGATGGGATCTTCTGGGGTTCTTACCCCCGAGCTGTAAGGAGTGGGGGTGTCTCTCCTGCCAACTCAGACCAGAATGGTCTTGGCTGCGCTTGACGCAGCGTGGCCCTGTGGGCACCCAAGGGTCCTCACAGCAGGGGAAGCCGCGCAGCGCAGGATCCGGCCTCGCACTCGCACCGGCTTCCCAGCTGGGCGTGTCCCCCCTCCCCAACAACCACACCATTTAACTCCGAGATCCCCAAAGGGGTTGGTGCAACCCCAGAGGGATGCAGTGGCATAGCAAGGTCAGGTGGTACCCGGTGCAGAAAATTTCTTGTCACCACATTGAAATTATTAAAAGAAGGAAAAATAAGATACTTATGACCTGGGGGAGGGCGCTAAGAGGCAAGAGGGCAGCGGGGGGGGGGTGTCCTCTCAGACACCTAAAACTCCCTGCTTCTAATTAGATCTTGCCGAAATATGCAACGAATTGTTCCTGCTTAGAATTTCACGGTGTTCTTTCCTTGACGAGTCGTGCAACGTGCTCTTCTGAATAACGGCTGGAGAAGCCCAGCCAGATTGGCGGGGGTAGAAATAATAAAAATTATTATTCATTCTTACTATATCAATGCTTTTTGGGGGGTGGGATTACGAATCCAAGGTGGGCAGGGTGCCCAAAATGACTTAACTGCGTCCTGGAACCTCTAACCTCCTCAGCTCCATCCTGTCTCCCCCCTTCCCTTACTCCTCTTAGAATCCCATGAGGGAGAGCGGGAAGGGACCCCCCAAGGCCATCTAGCCCAACCCGCCACCCCGCCGCCCCTCTCCCGGCCCCTGTCTTACCGTCACGCTCCTCGCGGTGGTTGGCGATGGGGAGGGTGTAGGTGGACTTGGCCATGGGCTGGCCCCCCCCCTCGGCCTGGGCGCTGGTCTCGCGGCGGGAGGGCGCCTGCTGTCCGTGGGGCCGAGGGAGGGCTGGGATGTGGCAGAACTTCCCCGTCCAGCTGGGGAGGCAGAGGCACTTGTCCTTCTTGAGGCAGACCCCCCCATTTTGGCAGATGAGGGGGCAGAGGACTGGGGGGGGCAGAGAGAGAGAGAGAGAGAGAGAGAGAGAGAGATCAGCTCAGCAGCCACACCTGCAGACAGGAGTCAGAATCCAGGGGGGTGTTTTCCTTTTTCGCCTAGTTGGAAGAGAGTGTGGCCTAGTGGTTAGCGCCGGACTAGGACCTGGTTTGAAATTCTGCCCTCAGTCCCGGGGTGTCCTTGGGGGCCAGCCGCTGCCTCCCAGCCTGGCCTCCCTCGCAGGGTTGTAGTGGGGGGTCAAAGGAGGAGGGGAAAAGACAGGGCTATAAATGCAATAAAGTAAATGCAGCAATAAAATAAATCCCTCCCCCTTCCCCATCTCTCTCATCCCTCCTCCTTGAGAGGCCCGGAGGAGGTCAACACAAGAGCAGGGCCTTCTCTGCAGTGGCTCCCTGTCTGTGGAATGCTCTCCCCAGGGAAGTTCGCCTGGCGCCTTCATCATTATACACCTTTAGGCGCCAGGCAAAAATGTTCCTTTTAAGCAGGCCTTTGGTTGAACTTATTGACATCCAACACCCTTTTAGAATGTGTGGAGGGGTATTGTTTTTGGTTTGATTTTATATGTTGTGGTCTTGTTTCTGAACCGCCCTGAGACCTCCAGGTATAGGGCAGTGTCTAAGTTGAATGAATGAATAAATAACTAAATAAATAATAATTGTAGCTGCTTCCCAGGACAGAGACCCCCTTGGCTCCTTGGACCCCCAGGTGCACAAAGGCCGACTCTCCGTCCAGGGTGCAGACTCTCCCCTGGGGGAAGAAAAGTCTCTGGGGACACACGACTCTAGGGAGGGGGAAGGAGGAGAGAGCCCCAGGGTCCCTGACCGCTCTCAGCCCCGCAGCTCAGGGGAGGGGGCAGCTGATGACTTTGCACCCCCCCCCGGGTCCAGAGGTTGCAGATGCAAAAGAGGAGCTGCTCCGTCCCCAGTCCAGGGTGTCCCCCCCCGGGGGGTGGAGGGTGCCAAGGAAATCGTGTTGGGAGTTTAACAAAGGTGCCTTTGCAGCGGTTCTCACCCTACCACAAAACGCTTTCGGGGTAAGAAAATTTTCCGAGGCTTTCTGCAAATAACAGTCTCCTTTTCCTAGCCCCCCCTCACCCTCCCCAGCAGGGAGGCGGCAAAATACCTGGAGGGGGGCTTCCAGGAAGGTTCCGTATCCCAGCGGAGGCACCTCGACATTGACCAGCCCCCCCAAATAAAAGTCTGTATATGAGATGTCCCAAATTTTCCTGCAAAGGTTTAGGAAGGTCAGGTGATACCTGGTGCAGAAAATTTCTTGTCACCCCCCATTGATTATTATTTTTTGCCTGCAAAAATGGTTTTATGTTATTTCATATTTTCTTACAAAGGAATAATAATAATAAATAAGAATAATAAGAATAATCAACTTTTATTTATATCCCGTCCTCCCAGCCATAGTCGGGATCAGGGCGGCTAACATCAGATACATAACATTGGTATAAAATCAAACAATAATTAAATCACCTCCTAAAAACATGTCAAAATCAAATCAAAGTCGATTTAGATGGCTTTCCGCAGGGTTAGGGTTGGGAACAGTAAGTGCTCCACTGAATTGAAATTTCAGCCTTCGCAACATAGGAAAACGGCCAAATAAACAGCTATTTTCGTGGAGGAGGGTCAAGATATTAACTGATATGCATGAAATTTCAGATATAGCTATAGAATCCCTAGTGTAGTAAGAGAAGACCTTTGGAGCAGGCATTTTTTAAAAGAAGATTTATGAACCGCCCTAGTAGGGCAGTAATTGTTCCTTGATAATTTGTCACCCCCCTCCATGATGGCACCTGGGGCGGCCCCCCCTTCCTACGCCCCTGTTGCCCTGAAAAATATTTCCAAAGAGCGCCTTTTAGGGGGGGGGTTGCAGGTCCACTCCCGGAGCCCCCTTTCCCTAAATTTATAGTATCACCTCTGGGTATCGTGCCTAAAAAGGTACCGGGTGAGTTGTGCACAATTCATAAATTATCATACCCAAAAAGCTGATCAGTAAATGACGCAATGCTCAGTAAAATATGCGCTGCCGGATTATGCAGTCCAGCTTCTTAAGGAGCGCAGCAGCCCTGGTGCTCTTATGGCCAAGTGTGATGCTGAATCGGCCTTTCGCCCACTTCCAGTCCACGCTCAAGACTTCTGGCTGCTAGGTTTAAAGTTTCAGGACCAATGGTACTTTGACAGAGCTATGCCCATGGCTGCTCCATTGCATGCGCCCCTTTTGAGACTTTAAGCACATTTCTGGAGTGGGCCATGAAAATAAGGTCAGGATCCCATTACGTCATGCACTATTTGGATGATTATTTGATAGCCGGGCGGCAGGAGAACCTGGGTTTTTAACACTTCCCATCAGCGCCGCTGCCTCTGCCACCAGAAATCCCTTTTTATTTATGGCGTGCTAATTTTATGGCCACCTTGCAGGAGGCCACAGATGCTTCCGAGTGGCAGCTGCTGCAAACTGCAGAGGGGAGAGGTTTTTTTTCTCTCAGCTCCGGCTTGTGGACATCTGCTCGGCCGCTGTGAGACTGGACAGGCCCCCTTTGGCCTGATCCAGCAGCCAGGCTCTTCTGGTGGAACCTCCAGCTCCAGAGGCAGTCTATCCAGATCCCTGGGTTCTTAGGGAAATTTGGCCCCTGGGAGACGAGGATGCCATTGGCCTCATCCAGGACTCTTCCTAGGTTCTTAAAGTGGGATGTAATTAAAAATAAAATAAACAATGACTTCGATCCTAGACACATCCAACTGGGAAATGGCTCCAGCAGGACGAGACCTCCTTACCCAAAAGGCCCCCACCTGACTGCTTTGATTTGTGCTTTTAAGAACTCGGTCATTTAGTGGCAGCACCGACCCTTTGGAACTCCCTGCCACTTGAGGCGCCTTCGCTGGACTCTTTTCGGCACCTGCTAAAAGCACCCTAACCCAGATGCTTAGAAAATTGAGGGAACTTTAATCGGCTTTTCATATTTTAAGTTTTGTACATTTCAAAGCGAACCACGCTTGATTTTTCTCGTTTGATCTTCTTGCAAAATGCTTTGAGGCTTTTCACGTTCTTGTCTTACAGTCAATTTTTATGAAATAGATAACAAGGACGTTCCCTCCCCGCTGCAACGCAAGAGAGATTCCTGCAGCTCCTTGGGGGCCGAGATGCCCCTTTGCCCCCATTTTTGTGCCAGTCTCTGAGGGGAGACTCTGGGGGAACTTCCTGGCACTCGCTCCACGTGGTACCAGCACGGCGACTCCAGCGTCCCAATCCGGTTGCCAAAATTCAGCCTGATCCTGCAAGTCTTCTGCTCAGCTGCCTTTGGGGGTTTGGGAGCTGTGTGTTTGTGTTAGGAAAAGTCTCTGGCTCCCCCCCCCCGGTGGGGTCTGGGCTGCCAAGTCAGCAGGAAGTCTCTGCTCTCAGGACACCCCACCTTCCCCTGGGGGGGCGGGGTGGGGGGCGTGTGGCCTCCGTCCAGAGCGTGCGGCTTGGCTCGCTTGCCAGAGTCACGGCAAGGTATGTGCTTTTCTAAACACTCGGGGGGGGGGGGGAGGCATCTGCACAGCAAGATCTGAACTGGGCTGATCTGGGGGGGGTGTGGAGAATATTCAGGAAAAGAAGGTTGTCCTTCAACACACAGCGCTGCCTGGCACTGTGGGGTCCTGAGCCAGCTCCCTCCTTGGAGCAACGGGACCCCAAGCCCACTTGGCCTGCAATGCAGAGGCCCCCCCCAATCCCTGGGGCTGGGCGGGAGCCAGATCTCTTGGAGGGGGGCCCACGTGCCCCACATTCCCAGGCGCAATCGAGGCCGGCCAGACAGTCTCGGTTGTTCTTGGCTGCCCTGTGCCCGTCTGGGCGGTGCTGAGAAGGGACAGATCCTGCCAGGCCTTTGAGAGGGCAAGTCTGCAGGCCAGCCAGCTGGGCCACGGTCAGAGGGAGGCCAGATTAGGCAGAGGGCGAAGTTGGCGTGGGGAGAGAGCAGGGCAGGAGGTGAGAGTGCCAGCCAGGCACCAGCGACAGAGCAGATTGAGAGAGCAGCGCAGGGGCTTCTCTTGCCAACCGATCCAGAGCAGGCACAGCACAGTCCAGCCCCAAGCTCTCCCTCTTTTAAAAGTCAGAAATGTGCAAGCTTCTGGGCCCCACAGAGTCCTTCAGCGGCAGAACGCCACCCTACACTCCTTGTCCTCTCTGGAAAAGCTGTCATGGCAGGAAGCAGCCTGCAAGAGGGGTCCTTGGAGAGGGGCACACGGACACTGACCCCCTCCTGCAAGGCAGGACACCCATCCTCTCCCCCCCCGCCAGGGTCAACCTGAGCTGAGGGTAGAGGAAGCGACAGGTGTGGTCCCCTCCCCATCCTGCCCCAACCACGGAAAAGACTCCCGCAAGGACTGGGGCTGCTGGTCTTGCCTCCTTTCCAAAACTCTCTGGAACCAAAACTGTCCAAGTGGACTGGTTCAGCGAAGTCCAGGGGGCAGGATCCGAATCGATGGATTCAAACAGCAAGCAAGGAGATTTTAACTAAGCAATAGGAAGAGCTTTCTGACAGCAAGAGCCGTGAGACAGCGGAATGGGCTTCCTCGGAAGGGACTCTCTTTCATCGGAGGCTTTTAAGCAGAGGTTGGGTGGCCCTCGGTCAGGAATCTTCTTCTCTGGCGATCTCTCGTAGCCGAGCAAGATGGGCTTCCACGAACAGGGTCTTCACAGTGAGTCCGTAAGTGACTGTGGAGGCCAGTTCTGGATCCACACCTCCTTCCTCAGTGGGGACATTGGTTTCCATGCGGGAGTTGATCACGGTGAGGATTTGCCAAGCCTGCCTTCCTCTTAGCATGTTTCTCCCTTGCGTCCTGAGTTCGAGTGTCTTCAAAGCCCATGACACCTTTGCTAAAGGCTGTTCTCCAATTGCAGCGCTCGCAGGCCAGTGTTTCCCAGTTGTCGGTGTTTATGCTACATTTTTTTTAGATTTGCCTTGAGAGAGTCTTTAAACCTCTCTTGTTGACCACCAGCAT